ACTGGTAGGTCTTGTGACTGATAGGTCTTGTGACTGGTAGGTTTTGTGACTGTTAGGTCTTGTGACTGGTAGGTCTTGTGACTGGTAAGTCTTGTGACTGGTAGGTCTTGTGACTAAGCTTTGTGACTTGTAGGTCTTGTGACTGGTAGGTCTTGTGACTGGTAGGTCTTGTGACTGGTAGGTCTTGTAACTGGTAGGTCTTGTGACTGTTAGGTCTTGTGACTGTTAGGTCTTGTGACTGTTAGGTCTTGTGACTGGTAGGTCTTGTGACGGGTAGGTCTTGTGACGGGTAGGTCTTGTGACTGGTAGGTCTTGTGACTAAGCTTTGTGACTGGTAGGTCTTGTGACTAAGCTTTGTGACTGGTAGGTCTTGTGACTGGTAGGTCTTGTGACTTTAAGGTTTGTGACTGTTAGGTCTTGCGACGTAAAGGTCTATGACTATCTAGTGAGTGCTTGTACACCCACCTGTGTACTGCTTTAAATCAAATATTACTATCTTGATTAAGATGACATGTTTAATATATTAAAGCGTTTGTGGATATCCTGAATGATGGACTAAAGCCTCGTTTGTGTGAGAATTGAGATGTTTCTGACAGTTTTGTTTTATTACAAGGTTTTCCTTGTATTACATTCTGTTTGTTATAGGGATGGTACTGTTGGCTGGAATTGTCTGTGTTCTAATCTAGACCTTACTGTTGGCTGGAATTGTCTGTGTTCTAATCTAGACCTTACTGTTGGCTGGAATTGTCTGTGTTCTAATCTAGACCTTACTGTTGGCTGGAATTGTCTGTGTTCTAATCTAGACCTTACTGTTGGCTGGAATTGTCTGTGTTCTAATCTAGACCGTAATGTTGGCTGGAATTGTCTGTGTTCTAATCTAGACCTTACTGTTGGCTGGAATTGTCTGTGTTCTAATCTAGACCGTAATGTTGGCTGGAATTGTCTGTGTTCTAATCTAGACCGTAATGTTGGCTGGAATTGTCTGTGTTCTAATCTAGACCTTACTGTTGGCTGGAATTGTCTGTGTTCTAATCTAGACCGTAATGTTGGCTTCAGATGTAATGAATGAAACAGTCGCCAACTCCCTACCCCATATGTTTCTTATGTAGCAATGAAGGTGTAGCCTAGTTGAGTGAGTTGCCTGGTTGTGTTAGGTGTTGTGAGAGATCGACCTGTTCAGCAGTCTACACCAAGGTCACCTTAACGCTTGGTGTTACCGTCTCTTGTTTGTTGGCCAGTGTTTCCTTGTTGTAACACAAGCTCGCCATAATGATCGGGTTTACCCTTTCTCCGGTGCTTCCCAGAACCTGTTCTAGGTACCAGGCCCCTAACTCTTGTTGGGAGATTGGATAATATAGGCGCCGCGCTGTACGGGGAGTTGGTATCTTGATCTTTCGTGTCATTTGTAATGAGGAGAACGCTTAAATAGAAAGAAAGTATTAAGTAATAGGCCTATATTTAATTTAATCATAAACACGGTGGAAAAAGAAATTAAGTTACTAAGTAATATATCCTATTAAATATTGAAGTTGAATTTCATTTTTTTTAAATTTAACAGCTAATCTAAGTCTCCCAATAGTGGCTTAAGTAGGAAAGTCACTTCTGGCGCCTGTATAGGCTACGTTTCTAGTAAATGTCAGTGTATTAGCTAGAGGCTAAAAGTCTTTAATTGGAGCGGTGAGAACCGCTGGCTCTTATCGATTAGGTTTACTTGTAATTTTTCTATAGTTGGCTAATGAATGTGTATCCGAATAGTTGTATGGCATGCCTCTGTTAGATTTCAACCAGCCGGTACTGATACTGTGTTTCTTGTCAGGACTATTGGCAGTTGTGGTTAGACTGTTTAAAAAATTTGAGTACCGCTGGCACTTATCGATTAGGTTTACTTGTAATTTTTCTATAGTTGGCTAATGAATGTGTATCCGAATAGTCGGAATTGTTTCATGGCATGCCTCTTTACCGCTAGTTAGATTTCAACCAGCCGGTACTGATACTGTGTTTCTAGTCAGGACCTCTGGCAGTTGTGGTAAGACTGTTATAAAAATTTGACTGTGGGATCGAGTTGTGTAGACGACCGGTTGATGGAGTCGTGTGATCCTGTTTGATTTCCTCACGCACAACTCCAGACTCGACACAGCTCTCCAGCACCATGTCTTACGGCTCCCACCGGTACGGGGCCGCTGGCGGTAACCCGTCCACGGGAGGGTACGGCTCATCCTACTCGGGCGGCAACGGAGGCTCGGGTTACTCCTACTCCAGCCCCTACACCAGCAGCGGCAGTTCGTACGGCGGAGGATACGGCGGCGGCGGCGGCTCTCTGCACGGGCACTCCCCGAGTCCTTACAGCTCCTCCATTCCTCCCGTCCCCTACTCGCCTTCCGCTTTGGTGCCGCCGGCCGGACTTTCATACGGTGCCGGCTCGTCACCGGCGCCCTACATCCCCGGATCTAGCAAGTCTCCGTACATTCCTGGCTCAGGGCGGCTCGGCTCCGGCTCCAGTTATTCGTCATCGGGCCTTGGCTCGGCTGCACTCTCTGGCTCTGGTTATACATCCAGTTTAGGGCCACCCGGCCTGGGGTCGTCAGGGTCCAGCTACTCGTCTGCTGGGCTTGGACCTTCCACCTTAGGAACTTTATCTGGAACTTCCTCAGGCTATTCAACGAGTCTAGGTCCCTCCACGGGATCGAGTTATTCCTCACCGAGCTTAGGGCCACCCCCTAGCTCTAGTTATTCTTCTGCCGGCCTGGGATCCTCATCCAGCTACTCATCGTCCGGTCTCGGGCCATCATCCGGCACGTATTACGGCAGTTCCGGTCTGACATCAGCCCCGTCGTCTAGTCTAGCTACCGGTGGTGCAGGTTCTAACAGCGGCGCTTCCCTGTCACTCCCGCCGTCCGGAGGATCCAACTTGAGCAGCGCCGGGTCCGGCTTGTCGAGTCGGGCGTCCAGCTCAGGCCACGGGTCAGCTTACAGCTCCAGGTCCAGCTCGACCACATCTCTGCCAGGCTCTACGTCGTTTGGCTCTGGTCTCAGTGCTTCCTTAGGGGTTAGTACTTTAGTGACATGATGAAAGTTGTCATTCTGTCATAGTGCTTCATTAGGGGTTAGTGCATTAGATTAGTTACACGATGAAAGTTGTCCCATGGTCTCAGAGTTTTTCTAGTACATTGAGTAATTAGTCGGAATAATAATTGGCTGGCTTGGTACATTGGCCGGACTAGACACTCAATAAAATTTGCTGTTACAAGTTTAGGTAACTTAGCAAAATGGGGGAGGGGTGGAGTTTGTTGCCATTTTAATTTAATATAATGTAAACACACTGGCCTAAACTAGGTCATGCTGCCGTTCAAGATATCTATAAATATTTACCGGAAGTGAGTGGGGTTCTTAGAAGCAAAACAAAACGCCGGCATCGATTTAATCATAGACTAACCATTGAACCATGCTAGTATTTCAAAGGTCAGCGTCAACGGGGGTTGAAAAAAAAAACAAATAGCCTCAACATTTTTAAAAATTAAAGCCCCCCGTCTTTGCTAAATTGAAGCGATCATTTTTTTTTTTTTAAATATTTCAATTTTTTTTTCCTTTAGCTTTAACTTTAATATTTTTAAAAATGTAAGGCAAACTCAGACGACGATGTGTGTGTACAAATAAATTCGTATTTCGCCTATGTCAACAATAGTAATTGGGCCCCTATCAACAAACATGGCCGGTGCCGATAAGGTAGGCGTAGGGTTTATTGATACAACTCGGCTGTTGCGTGCGGTCTATGGAGGGTTTATTTTCTTAATTAGATTGATATAGTTATTTATTTTCCTAATTAAATTGATATAGTCAATACTCATTTACTTTTAAATATTTGATACTTTTAGTAGTAGGACACCTTCTGTAATTCTATATCAAATAGAATTGTTTTATCATTAACGTATTGTTTCATTTAGATTCAATATACACAATAGGATCCGAATGTTAAACTTTTCACCTATTTCCCTGTCGACAATTTTCTTCTTTCTCACCTATAGTTCTCCCCTGCGCCCAGCTGTGGTCTATTTATAGACTACACGCGCAACCCAAGGAGCATGACTCATTTTGAACGTAAATCAAGTTCCATAACCATGTTGTGTACAGCAGACACACTGCCATGTCAGACTAGTTAGAATACTCTCTAACCCCAATGATAATGAACTCGGTCATAAGACAGACATACTAACTTGACCTTGGGGAAAACTTAGAAACGCATTACAAATAGCCCACTAGATTTAGGTTTTAATTTTTTTAAAGCTTTTATTATACCAGTGTTTTCTAAACTGGGGCACTGGAAGAGGGGGAAAAGGTGTAATTTATTTGTATTAAATGTTAGTGAAAGCAGATTTGTGCTTTATTTAAATGATTATATTTAATATCTAAATTATGCTAAACCTTGATTAATACTCAAAGCAGTTTTGTTTTCTGTGAATCTAAGGCCCTTGTTAATAAAATAACATGATTAGAGCAAGTAGAATAATGTGCTTACAGGACAAACACAACAGGGTGTTAAAATGTAGTGACTAAGATGCTAAAATGCTGTTGTAGTACCTGTATTGACTGTTTGCACCCTGTCATAGTTGTCATTTGAAACTTTTTACAGACAAATGAATAGACTGTCCTATAAATTAGTAAGATATAAAACAACTTTTCGTCTACCCATATACAATACACATCCCTCATTTTTATCAGGAGCTCAAAAATATGTGAATGACCACACCCTGTTTTAGCATGTGTTACTTCGTATCTATTTTAGACTTGAAAAATGTTCTGTTAAATTTTAATTAGTATTTTATCTGTTAAATTGTGTGGTATTTTTGTCTGTGAAATGACATAGGAACCCAACACCTCCATCCTCACCATAAAGATTTGATTATGCAGAATATTGCCTGTGTGTGTTGGTTCCCTTGTTTGTATGAAGACACTTGAGTAAGAAAGAAACAGAGAATTAACACAGTTCCTTGTTCTTGTTACAGAATCTAGGCTCTAGTAGGTATAGTTCAAGGTACAACTCCAACAGTGATGTTCCATCTTCAGATCGTTCCCAGCGTCCAGTTTCTTACTCGGATTTCTCTCGTTCTACTGGCTCACTAGATATAGACTATAAAAAGGCAAGTATATAATCTTCACATTTGATTAGAGCAAGTAGAATACTATGTGTTTACAGGACAAACACAACAGGATGTTAAAATGTAGTGACTCAACCTGTGTCAAGTTTTCTAGCTTGTTGTATGAGGCACAATATGTTGTTTACAAGTTGACAGACTTTGTTAGCAGTCTGCTAGTGTAAATAAGACATTAAATCTGTCACCGGGTTTTAACCTGTTTATTTTCTTTTCTGTATAGCAAGACAAATATAATTTTTTACACTGAACTATTGTGTTCAACTTGATTACAATTTTTTTTAATAAAGTTTACTTTATTTTATTTTTTTATTTTATGATTAACTTTAAATTCAGCACTGTGTGAACTTAGTATGCACTTTTTATTTTATGATTAATTTAAAAGTAAGGAACTTTACGAACTTTATATGCATTTTCCACATAACTTGGTATTTTTACCCTTATTCTTCCTTTTTCTCAATTATACAATTGAAGGAAATTGCCTCCAACTCATTACAGTATATCATGTCATCATGTTATGTGCAATATGGCCCGTTGACTCTGACTTCAGCTTCTTTTATTTCTTGACTTGCTTCCATAACCTTTGTCCACCCTAAAAACAATCTGCAAGGCAGCAGTTGTTTGATTTTGCAGTTTTCTCCCCTAGATTAGTTGCTGTCCCCAGCTAATGAGCCTTGTCTGCCTGGGGATATGAACACGGGACTTCTGGAGTTAGCAATCATACTCGCTTGACCCGACCAGCAACCTCCCTATTATTTAGAGATATTTTATGCCATCCAGACTTGTATAAACTAAAACCAATGTTAAAAATTTTTCAGAAATATGAAGATGAAAGAAGTGAAAATGAGAAGTTGAGGAAGGAATTGGAGGAGACAAAGAAAAGTCTGCTAGAGGCCAAAGCTGAGCTAGATAAGGTTATGAAACAGAGGGAGGTCCCACGCAACTCTGATAGGGTTGGTATTTATTCTATTGTCTTGTAATCAACTGTTTTATGTGTCATTTATTGTGTAGGGTTGGTATTTGTTTTATTGTCCCTGTCATCAACTGTTTTATGTGTCATTAATTGTGTAGGGTTGGTATTTCTTCTATTGTCTTGTAATCAACTGTTTTATGTGTCATTTATTGTGTAGGGTTGGTATTTGTTTTATTGTCCCTGTCATCAACTGTTTTATGTGTCATTTATTGTGTAAGGTTGGTATTTGTTTTATTGTCCCTGTCATCAACTGTTTTATGTGTCATTAATTGTGTAGGGTTGGTATTTCTTCTATTGTCTTGTCATCAACTGTTTTATGTGTCATTTATTGTGTAGGGTTGGTATTTCTTTTATTGTCCCTGTCATCAACTGTTTTATGTGTCATTAATTGTGTAGGGTTGGTATTTCTCCTATTGAAAACCAAAGTGTCACAAAACATATGTGCACACCTTAAATCAGCTGACACAGAGTTCTAGGCTTAACTTGTTATTCAGACACTGCGAGGTCAAAACATGAATCTATCAGAAGAATTCCTGAAAAAAAAACCACTTTTGTTGTATACATTGTATTCACTTTTTTAATATTAATTATGCTGTGTGACTTTATTTTTTGTATTTTATTCACATAGTTTTATATTTATTTAGCACTTTTTCTGTAATATTAAAAAAATGTATCATTGCTCTGAAAAAGTAGAGTACATAACTCACTTAAGCTTATTAAATAATTGTATGGTCAGCGTGAACATGAGATTGTGTAGTTTGTAGCTCTGTAATGTAGCACATTACATGTGAGTTAAAACTGTACATTAATTGTTCCAGGACAAAAGAACTTTAGAGAGGAGAGTATCAGAAATGGAAGAAGAGCTTAAGGTAAGTAAAAGATTGTTGTTTTTTTTTACCCTTCATTTTTTTTTGTTCATGTTCAAATAATGTTTAGGTTAGAAAAAAAGAACACTTACAGCCAGCTGTAATTAATTTCTTTAGTAAATTGATGACATTTTTGTTAGGAAATTATTTCTTCCATGTGATGTTAAATTATAAGTTTGTCCAGCAAGGTTGTGTGTTTGTGTGTTTTTCTCCGCGTGGAAATATCCCACGCATATTGGTCTTATCCTAGTCGCACACTGGTATTATCTTAGTCGCACTGATCTTGAATAGAAATCTAAAAAGACAATTTTGAAAGTGGCACCATTGTGTGTGTACCCAAGCCTTTTAATGAGTGTTGTAAATTGTATTTATAAGTATACAATTGAACAGTTTAAATCTATGCTTATGTGATTTATTTAGCATGCTACGTGATGGTAACTTCTATGTACAAACAAAACGGGATATTGTATTGTTCATTGTTTGATACTTTTTAGTTAGCTTTATCTGCCAGAATTATAAATAACCTCATTTGTGGCTGGGTTGGAAATCTTGTATCAGTAAAGAGTTATTTTAAACTGTAGAAAGTAAATAAAGTTAATACTATTTAATGAGCTTTTATCCAGTCTCATATTTACAAGTTGTTTTATTATAAAAAAAAAGAGCTGCAACTATTCAATTTAAAAAGTCATAAAGAACCTTTGGGTTAATGCTTAGTTTGGGTTTGCAATGCCTAACTATTTGAGATTTGCGTTCGTAATCTTATTTGTATGTCAAGGAGTAAACATTTTATTGGTTGACTAACAGTAAAGTACCAATTTGAAATTTTTGGTTGATATATGTAATCATGATGTATTGTGGAGGGCAGTAATAAACTTAATTATTGTGGTTGGCTAACAGAAAAGTTAAATTTATGACCGGTGATTGTTTAGCAAAGTTTTGATTACATGGCAATTTATTTGGATTTGATTAGAAGGGTATCTGATACTATCTGTAGTTAGTGGCAATGACTGTACGAGTGAAGCAAAGATATGAGCCATACGAGAACTTTGAGCGCAAGGGGTTGGGGGTGTGGCTAACATGTCTATGTAGTGGCTGGTGATGGTTAAAGTCAAGCACCTGCCTAGTACCCGGGTACATGGGCAACTCATAGTCAGATGGCTGTAACTCTGATGTTTTGTCTTGCCCAACTCTTGCAGTTGATGGAGAAATTAAAGGCTGAAAACATTAAGCTTAAGGACGAGAACCGTGCTCTCACCAGAGTTGTTGCTAAGCTCTCTAAATAGGTAACACACAAACAATCATTGAACAGTAAAGAGCTGATGTTAATAGAGTCGTTTTACATCTAGGTGGGTTTTTTTTTTTAACATTTCTCAATTGGCTGTTTTGGAATGGCTACAATGGAATTCATCCATATAGCTTATTAAATCACTGTATTAGAAAACTTGCTGCTAATTGTACAATTTTAAAGTAATATGATTATGACCACAATTATCTCAAGTAAGTTTGTTCTGATTTTCTTAAATCCTGTGTTTATGGTCAGCCTAATTTTTTAAAGTTATTAGTTGATTTTATAAAGCAAATAATAAAACTATAATTGTTAAAAAAACCCACCTAGACCTGAAACCTAGTTGAAGGTGATGTCTATTAGCATTAGCGTCTGACTGTCTAGTTGCGGTCTTGCTGCCTCCCACTGTCCTACGCAGGCTAGATCCTCCTGATTTTCTGCATGTTTTAACTAACAGTCTCGGCTTTAAGAAGACTCTTTCTTCACATTAAATACTACAGTTTTTGACTAAATCTAATGAAGTGGCTGCAGCAAGCTGTAGGAATAAAAAAAAAATGACATCACTACATGGACAGGTCAGAGAGATTCACTTGGCTTTTTGCTGCTTTCTTGTGTACTCTAGAAACTCAGTTCAGTTAACATTGAGTTGACAGACCTTTTTAGTTCATTTGTCAAAGAGGAAATTTGACTTACTTAATATGCACCTTATTATTAAATGCTAAACATGTTTGTAAAATGCAGATGGTGAATATTCTACAGGCTTGCTTATTATATATTCTCTAAAACATAATCTTCAACAAGGCAGCAAGCAGTTTAATGTAACATACTTGCAAACAAGACAGCAAGCATTAAATTTAACAGAATTGCATAAAAGCTATTAATTACATTAATCAAAAATATTTCTCTTGTTTTCAGCATGAGTTTATGTAGTTTCTTTTTTTTTAATCCTGGAAAGTGTAATTACAAAAATAAATAAGGAGGGGGTATAATTAGCCTAGTTCTTTATGTAATTTTATTTAGATTTATTTCAACTTGAACTGTCGGAATTTTTTTAAAGTGCCATACAAATCAATATTTACACATTTTATGTGAAATGGAAATGTTTTGAAATTTTAAAATATTAATTTAGTAAACTCAAATACATTTCATGCCACTGTACATCTATGTTACCTTAAGTTATGTTACAATATACCTAGCTTTTATTTATCTTTTCCTCCAAATCGAGTCTTACAAACTTTTTTTTTTTAAAAAGCATATATATATTTTAATAAGTACTAATTGCATGAAAGAAATGAAATTGTAGAGTGAAGTGTTCACCTTATAAAAATAATTTTTTTAAAATCGAAAAATTCAATAATCATTTATTTAGCATTTTATTTAACTTTAAAAAAAACGTCACTGTCGATATACTATCGAAACCTAAAGTGAAAAAAGCAAATGATTTGATCACTAAAAAAGCTACTATGTTTTCAGAATGAGAATGCTAATTGCATTTTCTCTTGTTTGTGATAGCTCTGAATAGTGGACATTTTTCCAGTCTTTGTTTATTGTCATAAAAAAAACTTATATTTCGATTCAATTACTACTGGCTTTCTGGTTTTCTTTTTTTCTTATAATCTTATCTTGTTTATGTTCATATCAAATAATTTGATTCTTGTATGTTTATATAATTTTTGTTAAAAATGAATTTTTACTAACAAAAAGTGTAAACTTTTTTAATGTAAAAAATATTTATTGAATTGTTAGGACAATTATTAAAATAAGGCTTAAAGTAGGTATAAGCTGTTAAGTCATTAGGATTTAGGCCTTATGGGTGTAGTGCCTTGGTACTTATTTAAATAGTAAGACTGAGGAGTCATGACATTTGTATGACTCTTTGTGACATTTCCTCAACTGTAGTCAGAGCTGTCAGTTTAAAAAAAAAAAAAAGAGGGTTATGGTTTTCAGCTTTGTATTGTTTCAGTGGATGAAATTATGTAACAATTTTACCTGAGTAAACAGACTATATTGTTATTTTAAATGTGTATGTTCCAAACCGTGTGACAACAGAAATGCTGTATGCTTTGTGTTTAAATACTTTATTTCTTTCTCTCACCAGAAAGTGGAGGCTCTGAAAGCAGATCACCAGAAAGTCTTGGAAACCTTGAAGGCAGATAACCAGCGGTTGAAGGATGAGAATGGAGCTTTGATCCGTGTCATCAGTAAATTGTCTAAATAAGTTCTGTGTCCACTCCCTTGCTTGTTCTAAATCTCCCTTCAACATTAGCTTGCTTATCTCATTGTCATATCACCAGCTGTTAATGCTATGGTTTCATGGAGGACATTTTCCAAACCAACCAACTAGGGATCTAATTTATAGTTTGTAACGTTTTAAATTATTTTCACTTCTCACTCAGTGCAATGTTTTATCCTATATTGTCATGTTGAAAATTTTGTCTTTCTTTATAATATAGTAGGGGAAAAATAGTTAATGTTTTTTAAAATTGAGTCTTCATGTGTGGTTAAAAAAAAAAGTCTTATAATAGCCCAGATAGAATCTTTTGGGACACTAATTGCCTTACACTATATGGGGGGAGAAAAGCAGCTCTAAATTATAATTATTCATCACTTAGAGTATATGCTCATCATAGACTATGACATACATAATGGACATTTTTAGCTAATTAAATTATTATTTTTTTGTACCTAATGAATTGATGGTGTAGTAAAGGAGATGGGAAGCTAGCAGTGTGTGTTGAACTCTATTTTCCTAAGCGTGATTAGAAATGTAATGACTTTGTTTTATAGCTTCTTTATAGAATGGATGCACATGACTATTATTATTTTTTTAAATGTTTATAGTGTGCTAGGTGAAGTGCTCACATTGAAAGTCATCCAGTCATTTTTTTTCTATTTAGTTATTTTTTTTCCAGTACTTTTAATCAGTACTTGTTATATGCAAGATTGTGCCTTATGTTTAACTTGTGTAAATATATCCACATTGCTTTTTCTGAAAGCATTACAGAAATTTCTCACAAAGCTTAATGGTAAAACACATGACAGTGCAGTTAATTCATGCATGAATTAGCAACGTGAAGCGCATTTTACTGGACTGCTATAAAACTAATAGTATAATCTTTTTGTATGACTAGAATATGTAAATGTGTGATCCTCATAGTTTTGTGTTTTGATAAAGCCTTCATGATTTAAATGTTGTAAACATTGAAAGTTTGAAGCAGTATGATGCTATGTTTGTGTAGCTTTAAAGATGGTAGTATCAGGGTGGGCCTAGCTCACAAGGTAATCATGAACTCATCAAATATGTATATAACGGCATGTTTTTTTCTATCCTCAGTGTCTAATTTATTTGTCCAATTTTTTTTTTTAAAGCTCTTGTTTTGGCTGTGCATTTCATCTTTTTTTTTTGTGTGTGTAGTAAATTCTTTGATCTCAAACCTAGGCACATTTTTTTGTCAAATGGGAGTAGTGTTTGTTGTGTGAGTTGTTTACCCTGGGCAACAGATGGCTTCTGTACAGATGGCTTATGTAACTCTTCAGGAGAGAGTTAGTAAACTCATGTGACCATTTATATTACCCCAGTTTTACTAATCACAACTAGACATGTCAGAAGTAACTAGTTGTTTTTTTAATATGAACTGTATGGTAGATTCTCTCCTTGTTAGGCCTGACTTCTTTTTTGTGTTTACGTTAGTTTAAGGTGGTTTTTGGTGGAACAGTTTGTCGTATGACTTAATGAAGATGATAATTTGTGTTCTGAAAGATGATTTCGCAACCAAATTTTCACTTGTACTGCAAAGAAGTGATAGGTTGCACCTGTCATTTTTATTTATGGGCTGAGTGCTCTATCATTGGTTGTGTGATAGTGCATCAATCATATTGCTATTAGTAGTGGTAGCTACAACCAAGAAGCGTCACACTGATTTAGGCAAGTAGTGTCAACTGATATAAGCAAGTAGTGTCACACTGTTATAGGCAAGTAGTGCCACACTATTATAAGCAGGTAGTGTCACACTGTTATAAGCAGGTAGTGTCACACTGTTATACGCTAGTAGTGTCGCACTGTTATAAGCAAGTATTGTCACACTATTATAAGCTAGTGGTTATTTTTTGGGCGTTTTGACTACTATTCTGCCTCTATTGATGTACCAGTAAAACTGCCCATATATTGTTTGTCCATGTTTCTGTAATGCTATCTCTAATAAGTGCTGCCACATCCCTCTAGTGGTAAGATGAAACCAGTTGTAATGATTAACTAACAAATGTAGAACACAGAATGGCTTAAAATGGTGTGATTTCTAAAGTTATGATCTAAACATACATTTTCAAAAGAACAAATTATATTTAACATTTTGTAGTAATGAATTATTCTTTAGTAACAAACTAATTGCAAGATCTTAGTACAACTACGACAAACTTTTATAAGAGTATGTTACGGTAGTGTTAACTTGATATAAATAAAGTTACTAGATAGGGAAATGAAATATTTATAAATACTGTACATAACAAGTGTAAATAGGCAGAATGTGTACATATCTTTGCTTGTTGGATATCAAAGTGAGGTTAGGGATTTCTATAGCTTATTTATTTGTGAATAAATCATGTCATTGGTGTGTACATTACAGTACATCTGTCCACGTTTGTGTGCTTTTTTCTTCATGTAATTGAATGACTAATTTTGGATTGACCCAACATAATAGTCTGCTTCAAGATGTACAAGATTGACCTGGGAAGTGTAGATTGTAAAAATAAAATTGGCTTTGTGATATTTCTGAAATTTAGCTGACTTGTTTATGAAAGACAGTACTTGTATGAAAATGATGAATTAATTTCTGTCAGTTTGTGGGGGGTAGGAATAGTTCAGACTTGATGCAGAATTTATTTAGTGTTAAAATATTTTACTTGTATGGTGATTAGCTTCAGTAGCTCCCCTCAGTAACTAGCTTGGCTTGTGATTATAAGCCTTCCTTGAAGACTTGTAGTCACCTGTGTCAGAAGCTTGTTGTTGAGGACTTTGTGATGCCTCTCTGGGTGACATGTTGGATCCAGAGCTAGCTAATCGCTGTCACTTTGTACACAACAAATTTAAAAACAAATTAAATATAAATATAAAGATTTAACTGATAATAATTTTAACTGAAGTTTTAAAAATTAAATACAAAATTAAAAATTAGACTGATGGTAATTTTAACTGATGTTACTACTTGTTGAAGTAAAAGTTTATGTTGATGAATTTTGAATGCCAGGTTGGCTAGATGACTGATTGCTTTAACTGAATTAATGACAATTTTTCTGTCTAACGATAGAGCCATTAACTGAATCTAATGACGATTTTTCTGTCTGATGGTGATGGTAGATGGTTCTGTTCTACTGATTCACTTCTTCTGATATACAGATTTTATGTGACATTCTTGACTTGAGTATGAATGGTTTATTTCAACACTTGTTTGTGTTTGTCTGTTCAACTGATTCACTTCTCCTGACATACAAATTGGATGTGACATTCTTGACTTGAGAATGAATGCAACATTTGTATATGTTGGCCAGTTTTGATCTCTACATCAGAACATGAATTTGGGGAAAAGTTTTTGTTTTAGCATTTGAACAAAGATAAACTAAGCAGTTATTTTTTCAAAACTGGATTAATGATGAGATATTAAAATACCTGAATTTTTTTTAGTGGCATTGAATTCAGTATTGTATTAGTGCTGTTTAGGGGGGGGGGGGTCACATTTAATAATAACTGTTTGTACTTAATACATTGTCTGTGATTTACTAAAATAGCAAATGTATATAAAGAAATGAGGCGTAGAAACATGTGATAAAATTAAAAAAAGCTTTACAGCTGGTTTGAATTACCTCAAGATAGTTTCAACCAATATTTTAGCATTAATTTCTAAAAATTCCCAAACTTAAAGAAGTTAATGGTTGTTTTTAAGTTATGGTAGATAAAAGGATAAGTTTGGTATAGCCCTACTTATCTAAATGACGTTACAATATAGCTTCTACATAACGCTTTTGTAGATGTTGATGTAGTTTAGCTGAGTGGTATATTAGCAGTGTTGATTGTTGAGTTATTTTAAGATAGACTTTCAGGAACTTTAACCCTGTGTTGTCTTAGTCATCCAGAGTGAATGCATTTTATTTTTTTCCTACAAGAAATTGCCTCCCAATGATCACACGCTTAGAGGTTTGAGATCAGAGAAATATTGTAATTCGGGTGTGTGGTTGGTGTCTGGGTGTATCTAGTTGAAAAAAAAAAAACTTGTTTGATTTCAAGTTTTAGTAGTTAAGTTACATGGAGCATAGTGGCGCATGTGTTAGTGTGGTCCTCTCTACTTATATGATAACGGTCTTTTATTCATGTGTAATGTGTTGAATAACTATTCCCCCCTATCTATAATGTACATGTGTATGTACTTCATCATCATTTTTACTATTATTCAATGCATCAAGATTTGTCATAGCTTGTAATGCTATTCATATATAAATTTCATTACAAATAAAATAATGAAGATTTTTCTTTAGCAATTTGTTGAGTTTGTTGTATTTTACTTTAGTTGTCAAACATTGTTCATGAGATTTGTGGCAGCCTCCTAGCTGAAGCTACTGCGTCAGGTTCCTTGAAATACAATATTTCTGTAATTTTATTTGGATAGTGTCATAGGGAGTGGTATAGTTTAACTAGCTTAGGGCACATTAAAAAAATTAGCGTGCTATTATTTAAGACTTATTGTCTACTGATGGGTTTGAGGTAGAATCTTTTTACTCAATGGTAGGATGCAATGCTGAAAACCAGAAAGTCTCAAGTTCAGATCCCACTCTGTAGGATGTCGTGGTGTTCAACCAGTTTCTTTCCCCCCCCCCCCCCCCGAAGAAAGTCTACCCCCCCCCCCCCCTTCCCGAACAAAATGGAATTTATATAGAAAATATATATTTTTAACATTGTCCACCCCCCCCTCACCCCGGAAATTTTATTCCGCGCCTCCCCCCTCCTCCCCCCCCCCCCCCCCCTGAAAATTTCAAGTGTGGAAGAAACACTGTTCACCCAGCCCTAATGGGCACCTGAAACATTAAGAAAAGTAAAGGTGTTAACCCATATATAGGCCCTTTAAAAGCTGAGACCACAGAAAAATGTGAACACTTTTTTTTTTTTCATCTCCCATTTTGACTGCTAGATCTGAAAAGGTAACTTCACCTTTTTTTATTGGTGAAGGCAAGTTTGTGTCAGTTTTTGAAATTCTGAATTCTAAAATACTCAATCGTTTTTATTTTTAAAAAAATTCAAAATGAAATTTTGTTTTAACTTCTCATTTTAGTGTATTTAAATGCTCACATTTTGAAGGTTTTAATATTTGCTTTATTTTTGTTTTTTATTCCTAATCATTATAAAAATTAAGTAATATAAAATGCCAGGACCCCCCCCCCCCTCTACCGCAGCAAATGACGTCACAGCCCAGCTTTTCTTCACCCCCACCCCGTCCATTTTTTTTTCTACTTTTAAGATATTTAATGCGATGAGTCAACATTAAGTGTTTTGAATAACTTTACAAGGAAAACGCGAAAAGCATTGCTTTGTAAAACGCAAAAGTGCTTCGTCACACTTTCAGCACAAAAGTTCTATCCCAAAGTTCCGCCTAGGAGTGTGACGTAATTTAGATGGACGACCCCTTCTGAAAACTGCAAGTGTCCGCCCCCCTCCCCCACTAAAATGTAAAGTACGCCTCCCGGAAATTCAAGTGCCCCCCCCCCCCCTTTCCCTGAAAAAAATACCTGCGAGAAATCCTGTAGACAAACCTTTTTTATTAAACAGGGCCTAAAACTGCTGTGTAGTTTCTACAAGTTTTCGGGAAATAAAGTAGGCCCTAGATTTAGAACTAGGAAATGAGAAGGCCGACAGTAGGGGAATTATTGACAATTAAAAAAACAACACAAATCCCAAAAACGGCTCCCAGGCCCCCTCCCCCAACCTTTTTGTGTTAGACCCTAGATCTAGAATCTATGTATTGTGTATAGGGCCTAGTCCCTCTTACTCTTAGTGCTCATAATCATATCCTTGGTGTAGCCGCCTTAGGCCAAAGCCCAAAAGCAAGGCCTAGCCCAAATTTGGGTAAAATCACGATATAGCGTCGGTTATTATTCCGGAACTGTACAGCAGTAAAAAACAGTAAAACCATGGCGTAGTCTGTCGAGCCGTTCCGGAAACCACCGGAAATACTGTAAACCATCATTTATTTGCCGCCATATTGTTTTTAATACATAATGTTTAAAAATGTGCAAGGATTGATTTTATTTGCATTTTAAATACTGTTTTGCTAATTATTTTGTATTTCTAATTATTTTAAGTTGTTTTTAAATTATTTTTAAATCTAATAGTCTTATTTACTAACAGAACTAGAGCTGGTTGTCGCAAATCTTCTGCAGGTTTTTTCTGTTTCTTAAAAAAAAACAATTACTAGGCTACACTCGAATTTATTAATAATATTTAGATTTACTAATTGTTGCTAATTTTTTGTCATTTAAACATTAAATTAAGTTAAAACATTAATTTAATGCACTTGACTTTATTTTTCTTTCAACGGTCAAATAAACTATGGTTTGCAGTAACGAATGTTACCGAAACTCAACGAACATTACCCAGTAATTTCCGACGCTATATCGTGATTTTACCCAAATTTGAATATGATTTTCAGATTTCATGATTTCACTACAGAAGAGTTGACACACTTTATCACATAGAAAGTTAATGGAGTCTGTCATGAGAAAGCACGGATCCTCCTTTGACCATTAGTTAGTGTTAGAAATCTAGTAAACTAAATCTGGATATAGACTAGATCTAGATCTAGCACCTGGATCTTCTAAGCTAAACTAGACAGATCTAGACAGTGAATTTTATTCGCTAATAAAGTAATATTAATAAAAATGGGTGATACGGCAGCAGTTACAAATAAAAAGCTACCAGAACAACAGAAGTTTCAGTTTGGACCATGGACAATTTCTTCTTTGAAATCTCACATTATGGAATCAGAAGGAAACCACAGAGAAAAGTAAGTGCAAGGTATTCAAGATCTAAATTTAGGCGTACAATCAATTAAACAAGGCTAGTATTACTATTAGAATTAGATTAGATCTACTGTTACTCTGTGTGCAGTGTTAGGCAGTGTTGAGTGTTAGTATCACATCACATGGACACATGTAATGTGTATACTGACAGTTAGAGTTAGTTAACTAAATTTTTATTAATTTATTTTAATTTAGGGCCTAATGTTTAAAAATAAGAGATCTAGAATTCTAGATCTAGAACTGGGGAGAAGTCTAGATTTAGATTTTAGATCTAGATTTTAAATAAAAGAGAAAAAGCTAGACTAGGACAGAGAAAGTTGCTATGGAAACATGCGATGGACATGCTGGTTCACCTGGTGACAGTGTGGCCAGGCGAGAGAGTATACCATTACTAATCCCATATGGCCCCAGTTCTGACCCCTAAGCAGATGAGGCTCTGTTACTTAGTTGGGAACAGCAACCCATTTTAGTAGAGAAAACTCCACAGTCAAACAAACTGAACAAAGGCTAGGCTCTATGGAAGCAAATCAAGAAACAAAAAGCAGGCTGAAGTCAGAGATAGCAGGCTATGGCTATGTAGTGTAAAACACACTGACACTTAGACAGCCCTTAATTGTGTTGGAGCTGCTTTTATTCCACACAATAGTGATTCAATAGACTGCTCAAAGTTAAGATTTATAACTAGAGAAGGCTAGAGCCGCTAGATGCACTGTGGGTACAGTTAGCAACATAAATTACACTAAAACTTATCTAAATGATTTTTTGTTTTATTCTTCTCATTTTTAGATATGAGCAAGAATTAAGGCTTCCACAGTTACCTGAGATGGTTTTTGCTGAAAATTGTCTTAAAATTTATCACCAGTCTGGCTGTGGCATAGAATTTAATGCACTCGATGCTCTTCGGTTAGTTGATGCAAGTACAGACCTGATCAAAGTAGCAGCTTCAGAAGAATGGCAGAATGCAAGGTAGTCACTTGTGTAGTAATGTATATTACTTGTGTAGTGTTGCATATTTTTACTTAAAATTAGGTATTAAAATGCTATTTATGCCTACAAATTAAATAATGTAAATTCTCCAAAATGTGTTTGATTATTTAGGCCTATTGGCTAGTTATGAGTGTTTTTACCACATGTTCTTGTACAGCATTCAATTAAGTTTAAGGCAGTTGTTTATGAAACACCATATTAAGACCAAATTAGATAAGTTCATTTTAAAATGAACTTTTTTAAATCATATTTTTAATTTCAAATTCTTGTTAAATCTATAAGTCTTTTGGTAGAAACTAGAGCAATTGCAATTAAATACTTACTTTTGGATGTTAATTTAGTACTGCAGCATATTTTGTCATATATAATGTTGGAAAATACATATAACAGTGTAGTTAAACAGGATCGTTTGTTTTAATTAGCCAACATAACCATAATCACAGTGCCAAGGGTGGGGATTAAAAACATCACTAATTTTTTCTTTATTTGTTTGTTTATCCAGAATAGATGTTGACTGCATTATTTTTAACAGTTTAGCAGGTTTACTTTTACAAACTAGCATTGACGTATTAGTTTTCTTTTTAAACCTGCCAGACATTAGGCAATATTTTCAGATCAGAGTGTCAGCATATAAAGAATGTAGTAGCCCCGTTTGATTGGACATTCACTACAGACTACAAGGGAACTGTTTTTGAAGACAGGCCTAACACATTAAAGGTGGGTATGTAATTTACTAGAATAATCTAGAAATTGTACATTGTTTGGTTTATACATTAATATAGTTTGTTAAAGCTTTGTTTAAGATATTGCTGATCAACAAAAATTATACAAAGTTGTACAAAGTTTTTTTTTTAAATTGTGTGTTCAGATTCAAAAGCATTTAAAACTTTATACTAACTTACTTTCAGATTTCTCCAACCACTGAGCGTATTAATATTGAAAATCTTAAGAAAAAAGAACCCATTCATTTCTATGAAGATATTTTACTATTTGAAGATGAATTGTCTGATAATGGGACTTCAATGCTTAGCGTAAAAGTTGTAAGTATAGATATAGTTTTTTAAAGTTAACTTAGTTATGGATATATTTAAACTTATTAAATGTTTATGGTGATACTGTATCAGCCTTGATTTTTAAGTAATAAAAACAATGGTTATTATTGTCACCTATAGAATGTAGTGGATCTTGCCGACATTGTTTTAGTTAGAGTCAAAACAATGTGCGATTGATCCGTACAAAGGTTTTTATTATTTTAAATGTTAATTCCATAAGCTTTGCTTTTGAAATTAATAAAAAACTAATTTTGCTTTAAGTGTAATGCTTTATTATGGTTAAATCTATAGTTCCATTAATTAAAGGCTTTTAATATGTTCACTAAAAAAATTGTTTGTGGTTCTGCAAATCTTGGAATATAGTTTATAACCTACTTTATTTTGTTTTGAGCTGAATTTTGGCACAGTGGTAGATCTTGGATAACAATGCAAGAATATCTCATTTTTAATTTAATTAGTTGGACACTTGTCAAAAAACTAGCGATCACTTAATCAGAAGACCATCGAGTGTGAACCAAACTAAATAGGGGCAGATAACCGAGTTTTAGAAATCGTAAGCAACTGGACAGATTTTAATGCAACCATTTTTAGTCCTGGCCCTAGTCATAGCCTATGTGGTGTTAACATTATTGCCAACAAAGGACTAAAAAGTGGAAAATATTCACAACCCACACAAAAATCACAAGTGAAAACCAAGTGTAACACAAGTGTAACCTTACTAAAGCTAGATGCTGGTATGACTAAAAATAATAGCCTTAGTCTCACTTATAGTGAATATATTCCCTTTCAAAGGAAGTTAATTGATAGATACACATTTGATTAGACCTATGTTCAATTTTCAATGAGCACTCAGGCTTTTATTTGTAGTCATACCAACATATAGCTTCATTAAGGCTACACCCAACTAAATTTATGTTTTACATTTTAGTACATTAAGCCATTTGTAATTTCTTTGTGAGTTGTGAATCTAATAAAAGCCTTTTTTCTCAAAAAAATTCAAGTGTGAATTTTCCATTATTTAAAACACTTTAAAAAAATTTCTAGCCTGTTATTATGCAAATGTTTAGACCTCTATCAGTTACTATTAAGTCTCATTTCTAAACTTAACAAGTTACATTTCTATGTGCATGTAACCAGTTGTTATACCTTTGCGTTTGTTTTGCTCATTGAGAAACGTTGGTTTCAGAGGGTCATGCCAAGCTGCTTTTTCATCCTACTCAGGTTTTTTGTAAGAGTAGATCAAGTGCTGATACGAATCAATGACACACGCTTCTACCATGAGGTCAGTGTAAATTCACTCAAGAGTTAAGAAAAAAATAAGACATTATTTAAAATGTCCATTTTATTGTACCTGATAAATTTTGACATAGATAACTTAACCCTCACTGTAATTTTTAATTCTTCTCTTACTTATTTAGGCTGGGACAAATTATATGTTGAGAGAATTTTCCAGTAAGGAAGAAAAAACATCTAATATACCTGTAAGTATTTGAATTTTTCTAATATTTTTTTTTTAAGCCCTGAAAACTGTGTTGTACTCATTTTCTTGCACATCACATGTTAAACTGAGAAAGTAGGGACAAGCAAAATGGTTGTTCTCTAACAGTGTTTGATCTTTTGTGTAAAAATAGCGAGGATTGGTGTTTTAACAAATCTTAGTATTCTTAGCGTGTTGATAAAACCTGCATTTCCCTATTTAGATTGTCATCTAATATCAGGTCTTAAATTTTATTTTTATGCTAATAGGAAGTGTAAATTAAATTTTATTTTTAAAAAATTGCTTTGATTTTGTTTAATCCTACTTATAAATCCATTTAAAAGCTAGTTTTGAATTTTTTTAATAGCTTTTTTTATATTATATAAAATTATGTTAACAGCTGTGAATGCTTATTTTTTTAGCAGAGTCTACACACAGATCCTAATGCTGTGGCGGAGCACCTGAAACTGACTAAAGAAATATTTGAAAAGCTGGAATTTGGCCCACACACTTTGTGATCCTGGTGTTTTTTTATACAATGTATCTTATTTAAGTATCTGTCTTATAAATTTGTTGTACCTTATTTACTCAATAATATTATTGTGATTTATGATGGATTTGTGTTTACTTTTTAAATTTATTATTTTATGTTTTTTGTTGAATGCTAGTGAAAGCTTGTTTTTTTATGAGACAGACTAAATTAGTAAATAACAAAAGTAACAGGAAATTAAAAAAAAACTGCAAATTTTCAATCTGAATGGAAATTCCAGTGATAAATATAGAGCTCTATGGGACCAGTTTCTTCCAGGCATCTCTTTGGGGAGGAGGGGGCGAACAAAGTCTACTTCACCCCCCTCCAAATGAGAAAGGAAGAGACATTGTATGGGGGACACTGTGTAGACACATCACCAATCAGATCTTAAAAACCTTCATCTGTGGTTGATGTAACCACCAAAGTAGAATGACATAAAGGCACTCCACTCTTGCCTTTCACTCGACTAAGAATTTTCAAGTCATTATGGCTATGACCATCACACATAAATAAAATTAAAAGGAGAGACATTGAATGTGTACAAACTTTAATACAATTGGTCCACTAGTTTTAAATGTAAATCTAAAATAGAATAAAATACCAAGTATCCTCACACAAAATACAAAAACATAGTGAGTAGCAGTTTTAAATGTCTGTAAAAATTGAAAACCAATTGGTGGAATGTAAAATAAAAATGTAACGGGATTGAGTCTTGAAAAGTATACGTGGTTGATTTAATTTTAAATAAGGAGTTTTTGTTAGGAATTTTCAAAGTGCTTCACATTAGTTCCTAAATTTTAAAAAAATTAAATAAATCGAGACATTTTTTTTTAATATTAGTACAGCAGGAATAACCAGTATACCATGCAAATATCCTAAAGAAATAAAAATGTATTTTTAAAAATATGTATAATCTTAAATGGTAATTTTCAAATATTAATCAACTGTAGCTTTAACAAAAATAAAAACCATGCCTAGACAGCTGTGTAAAATTGACGAATATAATTTTGTTTTATAGGTATATTACAAACAAATTACTGATTTTTCAATATCCACAACCTATGAAGTAACAAGAAGTTAATCAAGGGATACAAACACTAATTTTGAAAATAAAAAACAACTACCCACTCATTCCTTCTGCATAGTACATTAAACAATTTTCTACCAACAGAAGTATAACTCAAATTTTGTTTGATGCATAGTTTAAAACATTCTGGACAAGACAACAATTCAAGTATTTCAATAGAGAAAAAAAAATTAAATAAATGCTCACAGTTTTTTGACAACCCATATTGCAGAAAAAAAGTAAAAAAAAAAACAACCTTTAATTATTAATACATACAATGACTGGTATGGACACAACGCTTAATGCTGAAATTTAAAGTTCTGACAATTTCTAAAATTGGATAATGACATTTCTAATAATTATAAAATACTAAAAAAAAAAATGTTTATGAAGCCGAAAGGAAAATATTTGAAAGAATTAAGTGTGCATTGTAAAAAGATGATACCAAGAAACCTTTACAATTATAAAGAATACAAGCTGAATGTGAGATGGGTGGTCAAAACCTCATGGGTGGAATTTTAATGAAAGACTGATTTTAAATGAAAATTCCACTAATATTCATTGATGTATATACAAAATGTAGTTTTAGTCCTATATGCAAAATATTCAACGTTAATGGACAATTTAATAATTACAAAAGAATGTGTCGTTAATGATAAATTATTTTTTTTGCAACCTTTTGAATCTTTTACAACCTAGGTTTGATCACTTATTATGGAATGGTGTATAAAATTATGACAAGCTTGTATAACCACATCAACAAACTTCAATAAATAAAATACAACTATATAATACAACAACACATTCTAGGTCTAGTTCTCCTTCAGTTTGCTTTGTTCTGCATTAGCCAAACATCTTGTGAACCACTTCAAACTCATTTTGTAAAATAAATAGGTAAGTATAATTATTTTATTTTGAAAGAACAAAGCAGTCGTGGCCTAGAGTTACCTGTTTTTTATTTTTACGGTTTCTGCTCCCAGAAGAACAGCTAGGTGCAGGGTTAAAGAAATGTTGCCTTAAATTGACAGGTGTAGTTAGACGAAGCATTATCATACATCAGGTTACTATTTTTAAACAGGAGAAATAATATTATATACGACACTTCAACGCATGACATTCATCAGTCCTCATCAAGGCTTGAGTTAAACAGTGGAAATACTTTAACATACATAGTGACAACATGAGTCTGTGTATTTACATCTTATCTTCAGATAATTAGCGCTTCCAAGACAAATACAAATACTTCCAGACAATAATATTGTCAGTATACAGTCCATAGGAATATTCCTTGAAAGATTTATTTGAATACACTTGATTATGCTGAAATGAACAAGGTCTAAAATGAACAATTCAATAAATAAAACAGTTGATTCATAAGATTTCACACTGAACACATGGACATACGCCTTTAATAATTTTCTAAAACATTATAAAGAATTTGCATTAAAAAAAAAAGCATTTACAGTTCATTAGTTTTTACATAAAAATGAGCATACAGTACTTTATATCATGCCATGCGCAAGTGGCAGCTCTTTAATAACCAGAACTACTTTTTAATTGTTATGTAGATCTTAGATTTCAGTTAGGTTAAGCTAAACAGTTTCTTCCAAGTTAGAAATATCCCTCTATAAGTACTGTATAAAGTTATAGTAATAAACAATTGTGTTTAAAATTAATCCTTTCCTTTGCATTCTTTATACAAGCTTTTTAAATTTATTTCAAATGTGGATGAAGTATTGAGTGCAGTTGATAAAATGGTAAAATTAATTTTATCTTGGAATGATCTTCCCTTGTTTTTTGTACATTGTTTTGACATCAACACATGTATAACTAATTAAAGCAAGATTTAAGATAAACTGAGTATTATGGTAACCTTAAAAAAATCATTTCAGCCTAATTTTATAGTTAAGTTAAATTTTAAAATCAAATATAACAGTAATTATAACAGGTCTAGTTAGATTAGTTTGTTTTTTAAAATTCTACATTCAAATTTCCAGTGTTGTTAAGCAAATAATTAGATATGTTAGCTAAAAAAAAACATGATTATAATATTTTTTTGAAGTCAATGTTACTGTTACTTATGAATAAGTTTACAAAACAAATACATACATTTTTTTTACAAATGCACTTGAAATAATTTAAAAAAAAAAAAAAAAAAACCAAAAAAATTACACTGATTCAATTTTTAAAAATAATTTTTAAAAAGTTGTTGCAAATGAGCTAGTTCAATATACAGATAAATATGAACCATTCTATGCATGAATTATTTCTTATGCCTTCAAGATTAAGCAACTAAGCCTATACTGCAAGGATTCCATGGGAACATGCTTTGAATCTCAAAGTTCTTTTAATAATTTACTATAGGATAGTATGTGATATATTTTGTTCACAAACTTATTACTGAAACTAATACCCTCTCCATGGGACAAGGTACTTAATTATAACTGCTGTACCCATGTATTTTTAGCTCCGTAAAGATCAAATCTCAGTCATAATGTGTACAATAATACACAACCAACTTTTTGTAATGTAAATAGGTCACAAAATTTCTATATTACAATATAACCACACAGATTTTAAATAAATGACTACAGTTAAATTATGGAGATCAATGTTTAAAAAAAACACATTAAACATTTGATGTCAGCTTAGACATAGCTCTGATGAGGGCTTTGTTCTCCTCTTGAAGTTTTAAATTGTCTTCATCCAAACCATCACATTCCTGCAAAAACAATAGGAGATAATTAATGTTTTTTTATGGTTACCAGTACGGAAAATATTATTAAGCTTATGCTAAAACAGTTACGTAACATTAGTGGCAAGAAGGTTATTTTGTAAGCGGATTGAATACAATTAATATTTTTTTAAATATATATTTCATATATATATATATAGACTACTTAACTTACATACATTAAAATAACCTAAAAAAATGTAATTCTAATTTTTGAAAACTTCTAACAATGAATGCTGTAAAAAACATACTTTGGTGTAATATTTAAAAGTATTAATACCTAACAGCATTTAATGCCCAAATTGGTAGATAAAAAAATTAATTTAAAGAAACTGAGAATTACGTCAAATGGACAAATCATGCATATTATAAATGAGATAGCTTGTCATTCTTGTCAAAAAAAAGTTCTACAGAAAAAAAATTCTAATAAAAACATACCAAAACATGGACAATGGTTAAAATATTAATACTGTTTTTGTTTTAAAAAAGAATATATCTAAACTAAGAATATATAAATAAAATAAAATAACCATCACTATTTACAACATATATACATCAATCTTACGTGCCACTAACTCTTCTGTGATTTGAAAGCATGATTCATGGAGATGAATTAAATGACAATGATTATGGTAGGATGAATGCAAAAGTAAGGAAAGAAAACATCATATGACTCTGGCTTAGTAGGTAGGCCTACTATAAATTGTACATTTTAAATAGCAACTCTAATTTTACTCAACTATATAAAGTTTTCAATACTTGCAGTTTATACGAAAAATTTAAAATAGTAAATTTAAAAACAACATCATTTAAGTTAGTTAATGTTACATTGGGCAGATGAAGTAAAATTTATGTTTCTTGACAAAGCAGATGAGGGTATAATGTGATCAGCCCAGGTGCTTTTATTTTCCCCAACGTCAGTCAGGTACCCATCAGAGCTGGGTGGACTCAGGGAGATCCTTGAGTACCAATTATCATTTAGATTTACAAAAACTATTATCATTTGGGTTAGGTTAGGTTTGCCTGTTGCCCCTCCTGGGACATAGGCCGCTGACAAGAGCTTTTCAAATTATCATTTAGATTTAATAAAACTATTTGAAACCAAATTTGGTCAACACAACTAACTCACCGTGTTCAACAGTTCAATAGCCTTTTCCAGCTCGGCTATTTTTTTGTCTTTCTCCTCCAGCTGTAGCTGCAACCTTTTGTTGTCTTGTCTTTCTTTTTCCAGTTGCTGGTAATTGTTAGAGTATTAATTAGTTGGAGCTTGTATCAATTACTGAACTTGGCAATAATTTAATTAACAGCTTGTGTTAATGTTAATTACCTAATATTTAAATAATTTTTTTCTGAGCTTTAATTGTATTAAGTATTAAACTTATAAAAACCAGTTTTACAACTGCTTCCATTGGGGTTCATGAATTATACATAGGCATATATTAGAGGGATTAGCTGGTGTTAAGGGGAATTTTCAGACATGAATCATTTACTACTGGCATGACTAAATTTAGCTGCCTGATACAGATTGATTTAACAAGTGAACAGAATGTAATAGCAAAGGATTAAATGTTTTAATTTTTTTTTTAATATCTGAGCACCGTTTTGAAAATTAGAATTGTGTATATACTATGGTTGAAGATTTTGTACATAGTCTTGTCTAACAATTTAAAGGCATGTTGTATGAGTTTTGGAATACCCTGGGGTTGATGGCTTACTGTTAATTTATGTAAGATAATTCTAAGCCCTCACCTTTTCTAGCTGTACAATGGTGTCATTCTGTTGCTGGGTAGACGATGAGGAGTTGAGAGTGGACGACACAAATGGCCGCGGAGACTGGTAGCTTGCCAGTCTGCTCTGTATAGATCCAACTCCTGATGCTCCGCCCTCTCGATCTTTAAACCTTGAAGCACTAGCAACATACGACGAGAAGGGTGGTTTGTCACTCTTGGTTGTGGGAGGATTTGTTTCACGATAAACGGAAAACGTGCCAGACTTTGGTTGTATAGGTTGATTTTGATTAGCATCAGCTGGTGTGAATGTGGTTGCGGTGTTAATCCTGCGAGGAGAGTCTGGTTCAGTGCTTGTGCCGTTGTTACCAACCGAAGCGCCGGTCGTGGAGCGTGGGGATTCTGGGTCCCGGCACCGAGACAGTATAGAAGAAGAAGAGGAGGATGTTGAGGGTGTATAAGTTCTTGCAGAGGAATCAGCATCGCTTGAGACGTTGCTGGTGGCAAATTTGAGAGCACGGTTTGATTCTGGGGAGTACCTGGCATTGAAAGTGCTGCCACCAAGCCGGCCGCCAACACTTCCTGCTTGTCGTCCAGGTAAATTCTGTGAAATTTCAGAAGACTCGGAACGACCGATTAATGAAAGATTAGTCTCAGAGTGGCTGACAGTGCTATCATAGTCTTGATTGTCTTCCAGATCAGCTTCAAGATCAGATGGGCTGAAATAATGTGAATGTTTAAATAAAAATATGAAACAAAAAAAAAAGGATAAAAATATAGATTGTGAACAAAGTATATTTTAGACATTTAAACCATTAGTTTAATAGTTTAAAAATGAAAAATAAAATAAAAACCTTTTGTTCCTGCGTTGATGGGAATAGACTGGATTTGAGGAATGTCTTCCCTTTAAGAATATAAAACAAGGTAAAAGTTTAGCAGATGAATAGGAATGTCTTCCCTTTAAGAATATAAAACAAGGTAAAAGTTTAGCAGATGAATATTAAACATCTTTTTATAAAAAGAAGCTTAAAACGGTTTCCAAAAAAAGTACATTGGTTTGAATAACCATAAAAAAAAAGAATAGTAGTTAGTATAATTAGTTAATTACTAGATCTAGGAACATGAAAAACTCAAAACTGAAAAAAAAACGTGGAAAATTTATGCAGGAATTTTTCCCCTATAAATAAAAGCTCATTTAACTCACTTAAAAATAATTTATCATCAACTTACTAGCATTGTTCTTCAAATAAAAAGGAATGTCAACAAAAACCCTAAACTACAGAACTTAGAAAGACAAAAGCTTTTATAATGGGACTACACGCAAAATCTGCCTGAAGACAATGATGTCACACTACAAGAATGTCCTCAGCTATTTATAGACAGCTTTTGGCCACTGCATTGCTAAAGGTGTAGGCCTACAATTTGTATTCTTAAAAACTTTAAATACAAGACACTACAGAAAAAACAACTTCCTTTTGTTTAATCATCTACATCTAATGATTATGCACTATTCACTTTGGTCAAAAGCATACTGAAGCTCAAAGATCAAACTGATAATAAACATCATATCTGAGATAGTAAAGCAAAAAATAGTACTACCTATGTTGGTATAATTATTGATTACTAAGTTTTAGAGTTAAACAATCAAATGGTTTTAACTAAGTTAAAATAAAAAATATAAATGTTTTAAATTATTATAGTTATTATAAGTAGATCTATAATCTTAGAGTTGAAATCATTATTAAAAGTATAATCTTAGTGTTGCTTTAAAAATAATACTTTTAGTGACAAATAGACATTCTGTTGTTTTTTGTTTTGTTTATTATAGTGTAGATTACTTTCTACATGTTACTTGTTTACTTCTTCATAAACAATGTGTTGTAGAGAAGAACTGGGGAGCATGGAAAGTCAAGTCTGTCAGAAAGTCAGTGTGTCAGCTGCTAGAGTTAATAAGGTCAATCTAAATCCCAAATCCTATTCATTGTCACACTGCAGCACAGGTAAAAGATTACAGATCTGCACAGCCATCAATCTTTGAAGTGACAGGCATGCCCCATTACAGCACAGAGCCAAAGTGATCTAACTTTTATACTGGCTAACAAGTAGTTTTTTACATGTAACACTTTACTCTACATTAATTAGGAATTAGCAATAAAATAAAACAGAACATGATTATAAAATAAAAATGTGACAAAATAATTTAGGCTCAATTAAAATTGCAAATTGTATGTTTATAACACTAATTTTTTAAAACTATTTTTTAAATTACTTGATAACACCTGATAGCATTTGAAGGAAGATTTTTAATTTGGTAATTAAATAATTTAGATAATTATATTTTTTAGTACACATTTCAAGCTAACTACATATAATGTGCTGCTTAGAATAGGAACATGGTAATTAAGCAGCTAGGCAATGGGCAATGTTCTGATGATGCAGAACTACAACATGCCGAAGCACTGTCAATTTTTTTAATATATGTCAGAAGTTTAAAGGGGGTCTACAGAAGCAATTTTCTACTTATTAAACTGATCATAATATTGAAATATGAACTACTTATTTTTGCATTAGCACGAATGATCTAACTTATTAACTGTTTTTGTAAAAAAAAAAATTATATTATGACTCTAGCAAATTACCATTGCCCTGTCCTCAGTGACTTGACTAAAAATTGAATGCAAAAAATACTAACCTCATACAGGTTGTCATGGTGACGACCTCCTATTGAACTTTCATTATAAGTTGTGTTTTTCTTTGTGTCATGGCCATGACTATCTTCATCATCATCTTCATCATCAAGGGAATCACCAGTGCTCTAAAAAGATAACAGAACATTTTTAACTTCCTTTAAAAATATAAAATAAAAATTAACATGGGACTCTAAAAGTCAACCAAAAACAGTCTTGGGTTTAAAAAAAAAGTTTTATGTCTACATCCTATTCAGAAAGTCAAAGAAGTAATTTTGTCAAGAATTTAACTTAGAAGACTGAGCTGCTGCTATTTACTAGTATTTACAGTAAACATAATGAGCTAAGGTGTAATTAAGATCATCATCTTCATCATCAAGGGAATCACCAGTGCTCTAAAAAGATAACAGAACATTTTTAACTTCCTTTAAAAATATAAAATAAAAATTAACATGGGACTCTAAAAGTCAACCAAAAACAGTCTTGGGTTTAAAAAAAAAAGTTTTATGTCTACATCCTATTCAGAAAGTCAAAGAAGTAATTTTGTCAAGAATTTAACTTAGAAGACTGAGCTGCTGCTATTTACTAGTATTTACATAATGAGCTAAGGTGTAATTAAGATGGAGAATGATCAATAACACACTTATGATTTTTCTCAAGTACTAAGTGGATACAGTCAAGATACTTTAATTCACATCTTATAAATCTCAAGGGTTAACCCTTTAACACAAGATGCCCTACAGTCAAGATACTTTAATTCACATCTTATAAATCTCAAGGGTTAACCCTTTAACACAAGATGTCCTACAGTCAAGATACTTTAATTCACATCTTATAAATCTCAAGGGTTAACCCTTTAACACAAGATGTCCTACAGTCAAGATACTTTAATTCACATCTTATAAATCTCAAGGGTTAACCCTTTAACACAAGATGCCCTACAGTCAAGATACTTTAATTCACATCTTATAGATCTCAAGGCTTAACCCTTTAACACAAGTTGCCATACAGTTGAGATATTTTAATTCACATCTTATAGATCTCAAGGGTTAACCCTTTAACACAAGATGCCCTACAGTCTAGACACTTTAATTCACATCTTATAAATCTCAAGGGTTAACCCTTTAACACAAGTTGCCATACAGTTGAGATATTTTAATTCACATCTTATAGATCTCAAGGGTTAACCCTTTAACACAAGATGCCCTTGGGATGACTCACTAAACAATTGACAGGTTTTTAAAAGTTTACAACAACCTAAGCTAAAAGAGATGTGCACACAAAAGATGTTAAAAACACAACAGGATGGATGAGATCAACATATCATTGGAAAGTATTGCAGGAACCTTAATATTAATTTACTTTAATTTAGGCAAGGATGATGCAATTCTAGCAATTTTTTTTTTAAATATGCAGTTAAAAACAAAATGGGAAAAGAAGATAAAATCAATGCTTTAAAAAATGTATAAAGAAAAGTGTTTGTTTTTAATTACAGATATTTTTTTTCTTAAGATTCTAGAGTGGGTGAAAATTAGAAAAACTCAAATAAAATACATTATTTTGGATAATGTGCAATGTTAGCAATTTATAATAAATTAATAAAAATGTTTTAGCGGTATAAGCAGTTTTAAGTCAACCAAACAGCCATTCACATAACGATAAGTATGGCTCTCCACACAATAAAATATTTTTCAATCTGCTAAATAGTCGATTCTGTTGGAATATTTTCATTTAAAAAAAAAAAAAAACAGTTGTTTCTTTTTTCCGTATTTTGAATGTGACCAAATTGAATAGGCCAAGAATGACAGAAAAAAAAATCTGATAAAAATGGAGTAGGTGAAGGGAGATGAACAGATGTAAACTCTAACACAGAAAAATACAAAAATCATGCCATTTAAAAATTAGGACTACTCACTTCAGTGGATGGCATGCAGTGAACAACACCGGTGCTCCTGCGTTTCTCTCTCAACTTCCTCTTGTCTTTCGGCAACTTTCCCTTCATATGATTGGCTCGGCTTCTTTTTTCCTTGAGCCTGGCAGCCGCACCTCTTGTCGGGGACTCATGGTCAACAGGCAGGTGACCATGCCCAGATAGGCCTAAGCCATCTCCCGTGCCCATCTCACCATTGAGGTGGTCAGCGCTCTTACTTTCTTGATCTCCTCCATCCAGGTTATCTGGGGGAGCTCTGTGAGGCAAGGCCCCTCGGCCACTGTGTACTCGATGAACACGTATCCTGTTCCTCCTGGCCATGTTATCCAAGTCTTCCATGTCTAAGCTCTCCTGGCTTACAGAACTAGAAGCCATGATTGTCTGTGTTTTATTTTTATGACAGATGACTAGCAAAAGTTTGTTACATTACTTGATAAATCAACAGGAGGCAACCACCTAAAATAGAACAACAAAAAAACTATTAAGAATTTATAAGGGAGATATATTAACAACACATACACACACACACATATATATATATATATATATATATATATATATATATATATATATATATATCAATATATCTATATATATATATCAATATATCTATATATCCATACACATACATATAAACATACATACATATATATATACACACACACACATTCAGTATGTGTATATGTTTATATGCATAAACTTTTTAGGGGCTTTTAAGAATTTATGGCAACTTATAATTTAAAAAAAAAAACGTTTCAGCCATAATAGCTGTTGACATTGGGATTAAGGTCTGGACAGAAGTTACTAAAAATATATTTAGTAGGATTTCACACATCCTTTTTATGTATTAGGGTACCCTAAAACAAATGTTCTGTATCAGTAGATTTATGACATGTTGATACTACCAAGTGTTATCTATCAAATTGATTATGGTTTTCACCAGTCACTGAGAAAAAAAAACACAACAGCTTGTTATCTGCTAGTAAAAGCCAGTCTCAATACTGCAGCTTCACCAGGAAGTACAGGAGTACTACATATTTAAGTACAGCCATTGAACTTCATGTCAGGCTATTTATATTTTTGCTTTTGTTACCCAAAAAAAAAAAAAAAGACCATACATTCACTACACTTAAAAAATATCAACCCTATGATGGTGGCTACTGAACAGTTCGTAGCAGAAGTTAAAAAATCCTTTAAAAAAAAGTCGGATTTTTAAAAATCGACTTCATTTTCCAAGTTGAACTTTTTTTTTTAAACAACATGCCCAGAAGATTTATTAAACAGTAAACATATTGTTGGGGAGCATGAAGTCTTTATGACATGTAATAAAACAAATCCCCAAAAGTACTGAATAAAACTTAAAAGCTGGAGATATTGAGCAATGGTTACCTGGTATGTCGAAATGGAAAATAAGTAATCTGAGATTAGTTCATTATTTCAGTGCACTAGATTCATGGCTATTTTCAAAGAAAAAAAATGACTACAGGCCCACTTTTGAAAAATATTTAGGCCAAATTTAAAAGCTAGATTCTCTGATTAAAATTATTGCACACTACTGATAAGCCTGGGGGTGTTTCCCCTGTAACAATTAATCAGAGCCTCAAATATTTGTTGTGGTACTGTAAGTTTACCTAACTGTACCAGACAATAGAGCTAAAATTTACTTTTTAGCCTAACTTAATATAACTGAAGGCTGAAAATCTATTGATTTGGCCCCTATTTAACAATCTGGACACAAAATTCAAATAGGTGGGCTCTATACAATCACAACTCTGCATAACTAGTTATATTACTATGACAAGCTATGGACAACTATGCAGTCCCATGTGTCCAGAGGAACTGCAGGGATAATAATGATAGACAACTAAAGACAATACAGATTAAATTAGTGTTTTTAATTGAGTTTTTTGTTTCTTGGTTTAAACTCAAACTATCCCATACAAATAATTGTTGCAAGAAATGGGAAGCAAAGTATGTTGTAATGAGGGTTCCAACGAATAGTTTTAGCCTGTGATTTTTTTCCTATAAGCACAAGACAATGGACTCTTCCAAAAAAATTGGTGTTGTGTTGTTCTTGTTAAAAATACTAGCCTAGCTAATTACTGTAAACAAGATAAGCTAGTAATACTAAATTGTGACCTAACAATACTTTCCTCACTACTTACTACAGTGCATTGCTTTAACTATTTAGGGGGGGGGGGGGGGTGACACCAAGGCAAAAAATAGCAAAATATATAGGGGGGGGGGTGCAAATTGAAAACTTGAGTGGGGGTGCAAATCGAAAATTTGAAAGTTTGTCCCCGGGAAGGGTCGCCACGCCTATGGGGGGGGGGGGGGGGTGTGTGACACCGTCAAGTGCTGCACCGGGTGACACCCGACCTCGCTACGCCACTGGGAGTAAGGTTTGCGTTGACATTAGCAAGTTAGTTATACAGCTTATATTTTACTACCTATTTACACAGTAGAATTACAAGGCAGGGGTACAGGTTCATACCTGCGACACCATTTTGAGGGTGGTACCAAATTAAAAAATCTTAAAATTGAATGAGAAAATGTATCCAATTAAAAAAGACATTGGGGGTGAGGGGTGACACCAAACCAGAAATGCTAAACTATTGGAGAGGTTGGGGTGGCAGTGACCAATGACACCAGTGCATTAACCTAATACAACTTCAATTAAAGAACCTCCCATTATTATCATATAATGGGACACTGGTATAACTCAAATAAAACAGACAAGGCCAGTAAAAACACCTGAAAGAAACACTCCTGGCAATGATGTGATCATGTTGATCCATGTCTATTTCAAAATTAAAAACTGTTGATTCGGTATATATTGGTCTCTATGGGCATAGGCCTATATATATATATATATATATATATATATATATATATATATATATATATATATATATATATATATATACATATATTTATATATATATATATATATATATAAATATATATATATTTTTTTTAATTAGTTACCCCCTCCCCCTTAAGAGTAATTCCTAACTATACCACTGGTTGGAAAAATACACCAGATTTAATTAAATAGACTAACTAGCCATAATGACTAATAACAAAATAGTGAGATGCCAAGTTCTATAAACATATTTATATTTATTTAGCCTAATTAATAAATAGTCAGAAATTTAATTATAAATTTGCCTTCGTCTTACTGACTTAACTTATAATAGCCAAACAATAATACAGGACAGTGTTTCTTAACCTATGTCTTACTGACTTAACTTATAATAGCCAAACCATAATACAGGACAGTGTTTCTTAACCTATGTTCGATCATGGGGGTTCAGTGAATAGACTTTCTTTCAAGTATCTCTTCGGGGGGGGGGGGGGGGGGGGGGGGGGGGGCTCAGCACCCCTCCCCCCCAAAAAAAAGTAGATCTAAATTCTAGATCTAGATCTAGATTCTATTAGTAGTAGGCTGAGTAGCACACAAAACTTCAAGACTAGAGATCAAATCATAAGTACCATAAATAATAAATATGAAATGTTTATTAAAATGCTGCTGCTGGGCCTATTATATTATTATTAATAATATTTAAATATTATGATGAGATGATGAATCAAATGGATCTATAATTTATTCTAATAATTTCTAATCTATAGGCCTAAATAATGAGTAAATATATTAATTAATGGGTAATCTATCGTTTTGGGTACGTAAAATCGCCCGCGGCTATTTATGTACGAAAACGTTACCTCATTGTCAAGGCTGTAATAGAAGTATATTGTCATACTTTTGTGTCAAATATTATAGATAAATGAATAATAAACCCAAATCAATGGCTAAATATATCGATATAGGCCAGAAATTAACTTTAAACAGCAGTGTCTGAGAGCAAGATTTGCTATATAAACAGCAGCCATTTGTAAAATAGAGTGGCTTCCCCCTGAATCTGGCGCTAAAAGCTTATAAAAATAAAACTTAGACAAGATGGCTGCTATAGTAAATGAGCATGGTTGCATCTGTTGGAAACATCGCTAGTCTTCATTTATTACGGAAAAGTTTTAATTCAATTGTTTAAAAACAGGTACATAAATGAATCAAGGAAACATTTTTGAATTTTTTAAAACATAAATCCTCCTCAAAATGTGAAATAATTATTAAAATTTAAGGAGTCACCTGTTTTTCACATTACAAATCGCGGGCGATTTTACGTACCCAAAACGATAGATTACCTAATTAATTACTATTATTAGTATTCAATATTACATTATTAGACAAAACTAGAAATTATTGAAATTATCTAGATCTAGATTTAGATCTAGAAATCTATATTTAAATCAAGTTAAAATAAAATTTAAAAAAACCTTGATTGGTATTAATGTTTAAAAGAGAATTTACACTGCCCAGTCAAACACAGGAGCAACGACACGGAAAATGTGAATCAGTTTTTGTCTTTGTCGCCAGACAGAAAGACACACGACACAACACCTGCCTACCCGACAACAGGGCGACCGGAAAGTTTGTGTGACGATAATAGACGCGGTCTAAAAATAAAACCAACTTATAACTAACTGTTTTAAAAACAGGTGTGTTCCGTGTTGTTCGCACGAGTCACCAGTGTTGACTGAGTGTTGACTGTTATTTTCTTAGATGAAAAGCGAAAATCAAAACACGTTGACCCAATTACGAGTCTTAACACATGAGATGATCGTCGGGATGGAGATATTACACTATTTTATCGGATTGTAGATTATCCCATTGTTAATACAAAGCCGGCAGGATAATCAGCTGTCTAGTAGTCATTGCAGTGCAGGTCGAGCTTTGAAATCGCAACACAAACATGTCAAAAGACGCACAGATATTTGATGGCCTCGTTTCCAAAAGGCCTTCATTCATGACATCAGCGCATTACGTCATGGCGTTTTCCTGTGAAAGAATCTCAAGAATGCTAAAATTTTAGGACTTGATTAAACCGAAAAGACAACATTACGCTAAATTAAGGCCAACAAAATGAACATAAGTTTGATTACTTATATAATTTATTAGTTTACATTACAAACGGTTTTTTTTAACGACGGGGACACTCGAAATTCACTGGAAATCAAACTGAGCCAAAACTAGTAACTGTATTATTTAAAAATAACTCCTGATAAAAAGTGCCGCCCTCGCTCTCGGCTCAGTATCGATCGCTTAATTATGCAGACATTATTTAAAAAAATAACACGGGTAAAGCTCAAAGCAATGAAGTCTTTTGAAATGAAACAAACACATTTTCTCTTCTAACCTTTTTTAAAAATATTTATATATGTGAATAAACTTAGGCCTTAGTAGGTATAGGCAGTGGCGGATTAAGGGGGGTGCTGAGGGGGCTGCAGCCAGGGGCCCCCGATTTTTAGGGGCCCCCAAATTTCCTTTTTCAATCATAGTAAATTTCCCTTTGAAGTGAAATTTTTATTTTATTTTTTTTTACTATAAAAGCGAATGTTTAAATACTTGAATCACAAGTTTATTTCAATTTTTGTTCAAAATATCAAACTTGAGCATACACTTTATCTTAGTATAAATACCAGCCCGGACAGCGTTTGCTTATGGGGCCCCCAAAAAGTTTCAGCCAGGGGCCCCGCCCAAGCTTAATCCGCCCCTGGGTATAGGCTTGGCTCAGGGGAGTAGGCCTATGGTCAAATTTAAAGAACAATGCAACATTAACAAAAATGTAACAAATTGACTTGTGTAACAAGCAAAGCAAATCATCATGTTTGTTTGGGTGTCAGTTTTGGCTGATATAATTTTCAATATTTTAGAAAAAAAATGACATTTATGGACTGGGAGGGGGGGGGAATCCATGTGGACGTCCACGTGTTGAATTTAACATGGAAGTACTTACATTTAAAATAGACATAAAACGCATAACCTGCATGTAAAAAGTGAAATTATGACATAGTGCTCGTGTTTTAAAAAAAAACACATCGCAACGGGGAAAGGGATATATAACAACGTCGGGTCGTGATTTTTAACGATATTTACCTCCCCTCCCTCCGCAACGTTACCCATCTTTTAATTAACTACAACACATAAAATGACGTCACATTTGATCAGCCTACCACATCTCTTAGAACTCTAATTAAAAAGAAATTGCAATTTCTTAGATAAAATATATACTGAGCACCGTCAACGTTGAGTAGTCCTAGATTGATTTTTATTAAAATGGAAAAAAAAAACATTGCAAAAGCATGTCATACTTTCTGAAACCCTTACCCGCCCCTACGGAGTGTGACGTCATTAAAGTATTAACCCGTCCCCCCCCCCCTCCCCATAATAAAAAATACTTAAATAGCACCTTTTTGGAAAGCGAGTGATGAAGTAAAGAGAAATAGAGACTATGAACTATGTAGATGCATAGCGAGGGGGGTGCGGACCGCACCGGGTTACACCATTTAGGGGGGGGGGGGTGACACCAAGGCAAAAAATAGCTAAATATATAGAGATAAATGAAATTAATTCGAGTGTTAAATAGTGTTTTAAGAGGTGCAAATCGAATGTTTGAGGGGGGGGGGGGGGGGGTTGCAGATTGAAAGTTTGAGGGGAGGGGTGCAAATCGAAGGATTCTGGGGGGTGACACAGAGGCGTAGAGACCCTTCCCGGCACCCGGGGACAAACTTTCGATTTGCACCCCCCCCCCGCGCAAACTTTCGATTTGTTTTTCCAACCCATTTTGGCGCCCCATAAGGTCAACGCCCGGAGCATATGTCCCCCCCGCCCCCCCCCCTCGCTACGCCTCTGGGGTGACACCATTAAGTGCCGCACCGGGTGACACCCGACCTCGCTACGCCACTGGAACTATGAATCCTGTAAGGATGATGTCTTATGCGAGTTATTAATTTTATAAATTAAATGATTGATCTTATAAATGCTAATCTATTAATAATTAAAATAAAGACCGGGGGGGGGGGGGCACCGCCTGGAAGAAACTCTGATCGGCTATCTCATAAGTATCGAACATTCAGTAGCAGCCTAAATGGATCTCAAGGAACTCATTTACCATTTTGCAAACTCAAAAGCAAGAGAAAAAACAAATCTAAATAAACCATGAGAAACATATTGTGTTTAGTTAGTGGCGTCACTAGGTTGGGTGTCACCCTGTGCGTTTACTGGGGTTGTTACCCGGCCATCTTCCAACAATTTTCTGTTTGATGTCATACAACTCCCCCATCTATTTTTTTTTAACTGGATAAAACATTGTTTTGACTATAAAAACCTTTCTAATTTGTTGTCTAGGCGTCACCTAGCTAAATGGTGTCACCCAATGGTGACCGCACCTCCCGTCTCCGCCTTGTGACGTCACTGTCAGTGGCGTAGGCAGGGGGGGGTTAGGGGGGGTCATAACCCCCCCCCATAGACCCCTCGGTATATATAAAAAGTATGAGGGGGGGTGCAAATCGAAAGTTTGAGGGGGGGTGCAAATCGAAAGTTTGAGGGGGGGGTGCAAATCGAAAGTTTGAGGGGGGGTGCAAATCGAAAGTTTGAGGGGGGGGGGGTGCAAATCGAAAGTTTGAGGGGGGGTGCAAATCGAAAGTTTGAGGGGGGGGGGTGCAAATCGAAAGTTTGTCCCCGGGTAAAAATTGGAACCCCCCCCTTGAGACGATCCTGGCTACGCCACTGGTCACTGTGTTTGGTTACTTATATGCTACTGGCTTAGTTTTTTTTTGTTACAAAAAAAAAAGTGATGAACATAGTATTAATAATACGGCATTAATGTACAGTAGTATATTAGGTCACATTTGAGTATTATTTGGAGGGGTTCCCCAGCTGGGGGAAGATGGCTGCCGCGACCCACTACAAGTCTATCGATTTTTTTAAAAAGTTGTTTAAATAGTCATTGAAAACGATTTAGAACATAACTGCATGCCATTTGTGTTAGTATGTGTATTGTAAATACAAAATATATGTTTTTATAATTTTCCAAAATAATATAGAAGATAAATAAAATTTGACATTCTACACCTTTTTGAGACACACAACTGAAACTAATATAAAATGAAATCACACAAAAGTCTTCTTAAATTTTATTAATTTATTTAACGTCCTTCCAAATCATCAAAGGCTTTTAATATATCATGCTGTAAACTTAATCTTTCAAAACATACTCGATTCATAATAATACCAGAATTAGAAGGAAATTTTAAGATCAGCGCCATCCAAAAGATCTCTAAGATTCAGTGGCGTAGACAGGGGGGGGGGGGTCATACCCCCCCATAGACCCCTCGGTATATATGTAAAAAGTATGAGGGGGGGGGTGCAAATCGAAAGTTTGTCCCGGGTAAAAATTGGAGCCCCCCCCCCCCCCTTGAGACAATCCTGGCTACGCCACTGCTAAGATTTAAAGTGTTTTTGTTCATGAATTAACTGACCATCACCAATTTAGAATCACTGATTCGCCGTTCGTATTTCTTTATTAATTATTGCTACCCCTGGCCACAAGAAGCCAATCCTCACTAGACATCTTGAAATTGTGGAAATAACAGTTTATAATTAGTTCCAATAATTTGAAGTGTTAAACGTGATATAAATTATAATACCGTTAATGTATCGTCGATCCGGTATGGCACCCCCCCCCTCCCCCAAATAGACAACGTGGAGGTCATTGTGAATGCCTATAGAATAGGTCATAACATGAACAGCTGCTATTTGAGATAGCTAGCTGATGACATCACTGTATCCCCCCTCCCCCCAAAAAAAGCATATGGTTAATGGAGATGTCACACTGTCTGACTGTACTTGTCTTTTAATGTAAAAGTAAGAAATTGTGTTTCTGTGTTGCGTGTATGTATAAATCTCTGCGTTAAATGCCCTAAGTATTAGTTCCACCACATATATCTGAAATTAAAATCTAAATCACAGAAAGCGAGCAACAGTGTGCGTTTGAGTCTATTTCTAAAATTTAAATGCCATGCAAAAGTTTTTTGTTTTCTCGACAGGCTCTGAAAACTTGGTCAGTCAGCAAGTATTTGATTTAGGAAAGAGCTTTAGCTGTTAACAAATCCGGGATGTGTTTCTGAAAAAAGAAAATAAATTCAGAAAATTACTGCGTTTCATTTCACTTAATTAAAATTCAAAATGTAATTTATTTAATTACAACCGAATTTTCGTTAAAATACAGTGACGAAATTAAAGTAAATTGTTATGATAATTTTAGAGAGATAAAAAAAATAATTAATGATACGTCTAATAAGTGCTCAACCGGTTATTAAAGATAAATTAAACAATAACTTATTACAATTAGGAATATGAGGGGTATCATAAAAAGTAATATTTTATTGAGATAATTAGTTAATGACACGATTTAGTAGGTGATCACTGGGCGTTTAAAAGATAAATTAAACAATCATTTGATACAATGAAGATATTAAGGTAAAACAATGGGATTAATATTTTACAGAGATATGAATGAGGTAAATCTAGCTACAATTACAATAATATATGAAGAAAATAAGATATATAAAAAAGAAAAAAATATATATAAACTTACTTGGGTTGTAGATTTTTGTGTCAGAGAAGACAGCTATAACACCTGCAAAGTTGGTGGGCAAGGTGTGTTTCTCAAGGTTAAAATCTGGGTACATGTGCAGGGAGGCATTGAAATCCTCAACTGTCAGAGTAGGTATCAAGAAAACAATTTTTGTAGTGAAAGCTTCTGATCATGTAGTCTTTTGTTAAAATCTGGGTATATGTACAGGGAGGCATTGAAATCCTCAACGTCAGAGTAGGTGCCGAGAAAACAATGTTTGTAGTGAAAGCTTCTGAACATGTAGTCGTTTGTTAAAATCTGGGTATATGTACAGGGAGGCATTGAAATCCTCAACGTCAGAGGAGGTGTTGAGAAAACAATTTTTGTAGTGAAAGCTTCTGATCATGTAGTCTTTTTGCCCACCTTGGTGTGTTGTCAAAGTCATCCACTGTCATGTTGATGGTTTCTGGGGCGATCTGTGATCTGTGTTTTACATTCTGGTTTTTGAGTCCAGTTTAGATTTGTTTGTTGGTGTTGGTTTAAAGTCCAATTTCTATTTGATTCAATCAGTGCTTGGTGCTGGCAGCTTTTGTTTGCATCAGGTCGGGTTTTTTAATGTCAGGGATGTTTGTATTACCGAATGTGTGTCTGTATAAATTATCTTTTCTGGTAAATACTTTCCCGCATTCTGTACATTGATGTCTTTCTCTGCCATGTGCAGTGTTTTGATGTCGTTTCAAATGTTCTTTGGGTGTATTTGCCCTCACTGGTGTCACAAGCGTATCGATCCATGGCTGGGTAGCTGGCTGTGGTTAGGTCGGCTGTAAAATAAAAATTTAAGTGAATACATTTGACAACTTATTTAAAAATAAATAAGATTTAATTAAAGGGTATAATCGAATTTTTATTAGTGGGGTTAGTTACCATAAAACAAAAAATATTGACCTTACCGTTAATGCCAATAGAGCTTTTATGAATAATGATTCTTATGTTTAATTTCTGTCTTCTGTTCTTGTGTCTCAGTTTCTCTTGTATTACATTCTGAAAAATCTGTGGTATTCATTTCAACATCAGCAATGTCAGAATCTTCGGACATCTTACAGTGATCTCAGTGGCGTGGAGATAATAACACTCATGCAATACCATGTAGTATTCAGGAAATATCTCTGAAATAATACAATCATCTCATTGAAAAATGGAAAACGAAATTGGTATTATAGTTATATCTAATAAAATTATATAATCCTTATATTCAATAACAATTATCATTATTTACTATTTGTTCAAATCAAGACAGCGTGTATATTCAGTATATATGTAGTGTAAAATAAACATAGCATTATATCGTTGACAAGTCACGCAATAATGATAAGTATTAAAAAAGACGTTTAAAGGTATGAAGAGTGATGACAAACTTTTTGTGAAAAACATAATGATTGGCTCAAAACCGCATGACGCTATGTCAAGTTTTACTCAGTAATTCTTATAAGAAGTTATTACTAGAATTCAGAGCAACAATATAGATAGTTTGAGGTTAGGTAGCTAATTAAAAATTCAGAAAAGATCTGTCTATCTATTGGATGTTTAAAATCATTTGTCTCGACTTTTGAACTAGTCCGGGTTCTCTTCATGTTTGTTAATTCCAAACTCTACCCAGTATTACATTATTGTAGGCATATAGATCTAGAATCTTCTAGTGCATAACATGTTGAAACTGACTTATATTACAATGTGTAGCAAAGATGTAGGCATATGTTTATTATGTAAGTCCTGCTAGGGTGGGGGTGGGATAACTATACCACTATCTAGTATCTACACTCGTAGGCTTAACTAATACTAGGGACTTGGATGACGTAGATTTTGCCCCTCTAAAAACGAGAGTTTTTTCCCCATACCGTAACTTAGTGAATTTAGCCGTGCGGCAGTGGGTGATAATTAAAAAAAAATAATTTCACTATTAATCACCATTGTTAATAGAAAAGTGTCACTTTATTCTGAAAGACAAATGGATTTCACCGATTGCTGTGTTATTTTTGTTTTTTTCTGCTACGAGTGCGTGATGGTGTGTTTCAGGCAAAAATTGGGTAAGTAAAACTTATTGTTCCATAAAAATTTACCGTCGCCTTAGGCTAGAAATGCGATCTCCGAGCGTAAACACCATTTTTACATATGTGTTTCAAATTTCATTTAGTTATTCATTAGCGACGTATTTTTTTATAAATAACTTTGAAAGCATAGGGCTTACAACAGCTTAAGATTGCCGGAAAAGATCGAGGTTAAAACCGGAAGTGGTGTGTTGTTGTTAATGACGCTATACAATGTAAATCTACTTGTTTATCTAAATCCAGCAACATCCACATGAATCTGACTCTAAAAGCTTTTTAAATTATCGAATTACATTTGTTATTTATTAAACTTGTTATTTTTGATGACTTTTCATTTGTATTTTGTTATTAGATTCATTAATTGGGTAATTTTAGGATTGTAAATAAGATCGTTTTTTTTCTCTCAGTTCGCGATGTTTATTTTTTAAACAGTAGATTCTAGATCTAAATTGTTAACTTAAGTATTATATTTAAAAAAAAAAGAATGTTAGTTATATGTAGTGTGCTTTTCTATACAAATTTCTTAAATGAACAAGTTAATTTTAAAGCTTAATAGTAGGCCCTATGGCTATGCCTAGTATAAATCTACTATAGACCTATTGCAGGCTATTACACTTAGTTCAGTGAGTTTGTTGGGACTTAAGGTCTACTAATATTTAAAAAATAAAATGAATATAGATCTATTACAAGTGTTAATATTTAATTCCAAATGAACCATAATATGTATATTTTTATTCAGCCTTCTACTTGTTTTCTTAGAGCAAGTTTTTACTTTTTTATTAGATAAGTCCTCTTTATTTATGTTAAACTTGTATAGGCCCTTTTCAATTATAACTCTAGGCATTTTCACTACTTACTTTATGTACATTTACACAATTTTCTGTGTAAAGCTACACTATACTACTGTATTTTTGCTATTGTATATTTTTCAGTTGGAGCTTTACTAGTCTTGGCCCTAGATAAAATGTACCAGCTCACAAGGGGATAGAGAATCAAAAGATGTGGATCTACTCATAAGCAACTTCAATGAAGGAGAAATAAGTCCACTTAAGAATGGATGTTGCTGGTTTTTATTAGTTCTAAAAGCTATCAGCCAGAGGAGACACAGCTTCAGTAGATGTTTGATCAGATTTCATTTTTAAATCATTGATGGTGTTATTTTTGAAAGTAAAAAAGTGACACAAGCTAATAGACTTAAACATATTATCCACACAGCATGAGATGTCACTTAAATATATGACACATGTTTCTAAATTATAAAACTTACCTTTAACATTAAATGGTGATCTTTACTCCACCAATTAAAAAATCATTTCAATTATTAAATTATTTGTTCAACAATAATTGTAAATTAAATTATATCAATTCTATGATAACATACACATAACATGGTTGAAATATCATGAATATTGACAACATTTAGATACAATTTTAGTAATCTAAAATCCGTTTAGCATTGTACTTCTTTCTTGCAAAAAAGTAGTTGCGCAGAACAAAAATGACTTTTTAAATTTGACCAACATTGTAACAAAACCACATAAGCTAAGTGAAATATTTTTACTTTGTGTGGATGTATACAATGTTGGCACCAATTAGGCCAATTTTCATTAAGATATTCCATATAATAAAAATTTGGCAAGAGATTATGTGTTGCCTATAGCAGAATTTATTTTTTAAAATTAAGGCGGGTATATGAGTTTAAACCCCTTTTTCATTAAATAAAATATTTTTAAAATCAAATTTGAACAATGGTAATATCAAAGTATATAATAACCTTCATTTTTACAATATTTCTTGCATATAACCAAAGTAATCTAAAATCTACTCAACATTGTACTTCTTTCTTGCAAAAAAAGTAGTTGCGCAGAATAAAAATGACTTTTATTTTGTCCAACATTGTAATAAAACCACATAAGCTAAGTAAAATATTTTGACTTTCTGTTAATGTATACAGTGTTGGCACTATTCAGGCCAATTTTCAGTAAGATATTCCATATAATAAAAATTTAGCAACAGATTGTGTGTTGCCTATCAAAGACGCTTATTCAAAAATTTTAGGGGGCTGACCCTCTTTGTTAACATTATTTTTTATGATCATTCTCATCCACTTCAATTATTTTTATCTTACTCTTTTACTGATATCATAAGCTTGATCTTAGTGAATTTTCATTAAAAAATACCTGCTATTTAAAAAGTTACAGAGATTTTAGTTCGCATCCAAAAAAGTAGGGAAGCAAAAAATTGAGAAAACCCCATGGTAAAAAAACCCGAAAATTAAATACGTTAAAAATTCATAACTCCGTAACCGTTTGAGCTAAAATTAAAATAAAAGTATCTTTGTTCTTGTCTAAATGAGCTCTATAAACTGGTGCTACTACATTATTTATTTTTTTTTAAATTGAAATTTCATCCAAGTCCCTAACTAATACTATACCGAGTAGATCTAGTCACTTCGTTACATATTACATGGAATAGGCCTAAATAAATGCCTAAGCTTAAAAGCCCTAAATGAAACTGAAACATTTTTGTAAATTTCAAGAATTAAGTAGATCTCTATCTATTAGTTACTAGATCTAGTTAGGATCTAAGTAAGAGTAAAATCCTCCTAGATCTAGATCATAGATCTAGATTTTCTAGATTCTAGATCTATAAATGTGAAATAATTACTAGATCTAGATCTAGACTAGATCTAGATCTATTAGATCTACTAAAATGTATTAATTTAAGGAGTCACCTGTTTTTCACATTACTAGATCTAGACTCTAGAGATCTAGATTCTAGTCGAGTGTGATTTTACGTACCTAAAGCGATAAGTCGGATAAGAGATTAGGCTACCCTAAGGCCTAAACTGAGAAACTCTAAACACAGACAAAATAATACTACCACGTGGCCTGGATACAACAACCATTGAGACCTCGGTGAACTGGAAAAAAGTCACAGGAAAAAAGTCACAGTAGAAAAATTTTATCGGAAAAAAAGTCACAGAAAAAAAGGCACAAAAATCTTTTTAGGAATATTTTTATTAATTTGTTAAGAATTGTAAAATTTTGTATGTTTATTGTTGTGGGTTGTATTTTTGATAGCATAAGAAATTATTTATAGACGTTAAAAGCATTATGATTTATAACAATTGTAAGAAAAAATACTCTAAGATAATTAACAAAACAATCTCAACTTTTGTTACGTATTTAGTTAAATACACGGTAGAAAAGTTAATTATAAAAGAAATTTAGGCACATTTTGCCGTAGGCTATTCTCTGGTCTGCCTCTACTCAGTAGGCATTATCCGAAAATATTTTGTGTTGTTGACCAGTGTTTCTTCCAGACTTTTTTCTCCGGGGGGGGGGGGGCACTTGAAATCTTTGGGGGGAGGGGGGGCGGTAAACTTTCTTCGGGGGGGGGGGGCGGACACTGTTAAAAGTATATATTTTCTATATAAATTATATAAATTTCATTTCGTTCGGGGGTGGGGGGGGGGGCGGTAAATATTTTTCGGGGGGGGGGGGGGGGCTTCCCCCCCCCCCCCCCCCCCGAAGAGATGCCTGGAAGAAACTCTGTTGTTGACGTTATGCGTCAATGACAGCCTTTGAACCTTGTCGGCTTTCTGTTTTGATCCTAAGTTTTGTTATGTAATGAGCTTGATAAATGTGGGCAGTAAAGGTGGTTGAACTAAACATAACTATTGTTGCTATGAGTTGAGGGCAGCAAGTCAGATGAACTTACCATTTCACGGTAATTTAATATTTGTATTTAAAAAAAAAACACGATGAAAAACGTGGACTTTGGAGCAGGGGCGTAGCGAGGGGGAGGGGGGCGGGGGGTGCGGACCGCACCGGGTGACACCATTTAGTGGGGTGACACCAAGGCAGGTGACACCAAGGCAAAAAATAGCAAAATATATAGAGAAAAACTTGAGGGGGGGGGGTGCAAATCGAAAGTTTGAGGGGGGGAAGGTGCAAATCGAAAACTTGAAAGTTTGTCCCCGGGAAGGGTCGCAACGCCTCTGGGGGGGTGACACCATTAAGTGCCGCACCGGGTGACACCCGACCTCGCTACGCCATGCTTTGGAGCATTCTATTAAATGCTACTAATCTTAAGTTTAAAATAATTACAATCGACATACTTCATAATAAATATTTTTAGATGAATTATAAAAATTCCTATGCCATGCGTATACAGCCTACACACATTACATTACATTTAATTAATCCTAAGTTAATTTGCACTCTCTAATATTTAATACATAAAAGTATTAACAAATATCATGCAAATATATAAATATATATTTGTGACTTTTTTTCCTGTGACTTTTTTTCCTGTGACTTTTTTTCTGTGTTTTTTTTCCTGTGTTTTTTTTTCCTGTGACTTTTTTTCCTACAATCGAGACCTCAAAGTCGAAGTGATAATAAACACTAAATAGTTAGTATACCTACGACCTACGTAGACTAGTCACTTCGTATACAAAATATTATTATTAAATAAGCAAACTACTAAATGACTAAAAGTTAAAAGGAAAAATAATAAAACACTATTAGTATATTACTATTAAATATTTTATTAAATAAAATAGATTCTAGATCAAGGCCCTAGGCCTACTTTACCATACGCCGCGGCATACGCCATACAACACAGAAATGCGACACAGAGACACTTCTCAACATACAGGCTCGACATTCCCACAGAATGAGAGAATGCCCTCCCTGTCCAGGTGAAGTAGAGTTCACTTGTTTCTGTGACCTCAGCATATGAAGAGATAGTGTGGTCAGCATTATATTCTATATGCCCAGCCGCCTTTACTTTCCCTAACAGGAGTTAGGTACCCATCAGAGCTGGGTGGACTCAGGGACGGTCTACTGACTTGAACTCGGATTCGAACTCGAGACTATTGGGTTAGCAGTCCAGCTCTCTACCGCTAGACCACTCCGTCCCACACCAAGTGGACGCCTAATAAAATGTGTATAAAAGTGCGGGATATTATTAGTACTTTATAAATTTACATGCGTTTTTTGAGAAATCGGAAATAGCGTAAATTAGTACTTCCGGTCAACGGAAATTACTCAAAATTTGACAGAAGGTAGAGAATTAGATCTTTTACTTACATTTGAAATTTCATGCATCTCTCTAAAATAGTACGCAACTTATAGGCTTTTGAAAAATTCAAAGTAGAAAAAGTACCACTTCCGGTTATCGGAAATCGCTCAAAAGTTTATCAGGATCTACGATTTTGATAAAATACTTATATATGAAATTTCATCAACCTAGCTGTAACGGTACTCAAGTTATCGAGTTTACATACGGACACACACACAGACAGACACACAGACATACGGACAAGATTGCAAAATTATGTTTTTCCGATTACAAGACTTTCTCTATACTTCGTATATACCAGAAAGTAAAAAAGAATTTAAAAAAAAGAATTATACAGTACTCTCCCTTGCTTGACTTCAAAATTGGAAATAAAATAGTGTCACGATCTCTTCCGGTGACATCAAGCAAATTTCCACAACAATAATATTAAATTTCACAATGTTTCATAGATCTACATTTATTCTATTTGTTACATAGATCAAGATCTAGAACTGATACCCAATACATTTATAATACAACTGCAAAAGGAAATAACAAGATTTATTTTGAAATGACGTATTTAATGAAAATGTCGCTTATTTAAAAACCAATCTGAGAGCTGAATGAATTTGTTTGTTTGGTGATTGGACTGATTCATCTGATTGATTTAAGTAACAAAAGTTTAAAGCTAAAGTGTAACATTCTTATTTAGTCACAGTCCAGTGTCTCATGAAGCGATTATTAAAGTCTTATCCTAATCTCTTATCAAAGATCAACTAAAACACCTAGAGACCTAAGCTAACAGCCTAAGACAAGAGTAGAGAAAGTAAGTGCAAGTGCTAAAAAATTTTTTTTATTAGGGGGCCTAGTTAAATTTAAGGACGATATTTCGAGTCGTCCCTTTGAATCCCGGACAGATCGTCCCCCGGCGTGGCCTCAGCCAACCGGCGGGCTCGTTGCATTGAGTTAAATATAAACTCAAAACAATAATATAAACAATCTCCTTTCAGTAGGTCAGGCCACATACCACGCACGCATAGTGTTGTGTGTCGTGCCTTAACCAAAATAAACTATCTCCCTTCATTATCATTAGATATATTTAATTAGTTAATTAATTAATTAGCTAATTTATAAAATTATGTATGATGCTATAGCAGTAGGTAAGTTACAGTAAGTATCATTTTTTAAACTATGTATTTGTACTATAAAGAAACAGCTTCGTTGTTTGAATACCACCCCTTCCCCTTCTTGAACTCAAAGTTAAACTTTTAACCCCGTTCGTAGAGACATGCGGTATGTTGTAAGGTGGCGGGTGGGTAGGGTATATACTCATTGAAGAAAAAATCCACCGTGGTGCGTGTTATTGGCCTTGGGCCTTCGGTGACGTTGTTGGCGTTTGCTGTGAGGGGGAGAGGGGTGTGTTATATCCGTTTAAAAAAAATCGCAACATGGTATTGGCCTATGATGACGTCGGCGCAAGCGGGGAGGGGGGGGGAGACACTTTTTTTTTTTAAAACCAAGAACTAGGCGTTTAAAGGCTGTAATGAAAATCAAGGACTGGTATAGCCATGATGTCGAATTTAACGAGTGATGCTTGCTGGGTCTATCATACGATTGCTTGGCGATGGGAATCTCGCCAAGCTCAGTTTATATTTACAGTGAACTATTGGGATGCTGTCATACACAAAGTAACAGCTACCGAATGTAGCACTTAAAACATCGAGTGCATCCCGCTCATTATAAATTTGAAATACAAGTTATGGATTGCCCAAAAACTTGAAGGACTATCAGAATATATGCCTAACATTAATCATTACGATATAACTAAAATGTGTATCCAAATATTTTTAGGCTAACAGGATCTGCATTTAAATAAACAAGACCTATTAGGCTACTTTTGCATGGTAGCACAACTACATTTTTAGATTTCATAATGAGTAGCCTAGTCGTGCATTAAAGGGCTGTACTCAGTAACAATGAAAAAAATGAAATGCCGGCTTCAAACTTCAAGCTATGATTTCCCCGTATTCTTCTACTAGAAATATAGCTCCGTTGTTCTAATGACCTCACCCTCCTCCTCTCACCTAGTTCAATTTAAAGTTACACTTTCAACCCCGTTAGGATGCGTGAGCTACTGATGACCTAACTATTGAAAAAAAAAACTATTCTGGCGTTAAATTGCCCTCCCCTACTCGCAGCACTTTGGGGCCATACACATCAGGAAGGTCTAGGTCGGTGTTGTATCTCATGCAAATTTACTCACAACACGACTACACACTATGGTTGTATCCAGGACTAAAGCTGCGACACTCGCATAGAGTTGGATTTATTCGTTAGATCATTGTGCTTCAAATTCTGTTTCAATATTGGATTAGATGGATATAATGTTGGAATTCAGTTAGTTTGTTATATTATATTTATCTAAATGTCGTGTACCATCAGAAACTAAATTGGTTGACAAGACACATGTGTAGGCTAAAGAATGACCTCTAGATCGAGCCAAAGATGGCTGGTTAAGGTTGACAAACTGTGGTTTTCAAATTTCATGGTGATGCTTTTCTAAAGGATTTTATTTTGTGCTTTCTTTGGGATTATTTTGTGTGATGTGATTATTCAGAAGTAATTTGTAAGTAGAAGCTTTTCACATCCAACCATTTTAACAGTTTGCGATTGATCTGCGGCTGGGCTGATTAATTTACATTTAGCAAAACTACACACTACACGGCGCCCTCAGGCCGTTGTTTCAGCATGCCCTACTAATCAATTATAGACAAGTTTAGAATCAATACATAGAGCCAACACACCGATTTTTATTTAATAATCTTCAAGAGCCATTCC